TCGCTTCCAAGTGGCAAAAACCAGTGACTGCTACTCCTTCCGTAGACCTATACAAAGTGTTGTCTTCGAGAGCGGTGGGCTGGGAACGTCGGTCTTCCCAATCTATGTAAAGAATATCCGAAGTGGCGTACCTTACCTTTTCGCGGAAGAATTGAAGATAGTCTATAGCCTTTTTCGTGCAGCACTAGCACAAGGTTTCTCTCAAATACAAGGTCTGAGGAGAATATTCACATGGGGCGTGACCTAGCAGTACTCTTTAAACCTAAATAAAAGTCGTATCCACCGTTACATTAAGTCCCACCCAGAAGCAACACTACAGTTGGGTGAAGTGGCACTGTAGGTATACAGAACTGTGAAAGACCTCGGAATCACTTACTCCAGGAGTCTGATCTTTACGGAGCATGCAGATTCAATAGTTTCCAAGGGTAGAAGGCTCCTGGGCCTTCTATACAGAAGCATGCTCACATTTGGGGCAAAAAACTTATACTGTACAAAATCATGGTTGGCCCAGTGCTAGGGTATCGCGAAGTTATATATGGCAACATGAAGGCATCTGATAGACTTTGAGTAGATAACATCCAACGAAACTTCACTCGGCGCCTACTTATGCGTGATGAAGATCTTCCTTAAGAAGCAAGATTCAAAAACTAGGACTAGAGTCACCATGGCTCAGACGCCTGGCGCTCAACCTAACCTTTGTTTTTCGTCTTTCATTTGAAGAATCTAAAACGTACTGTACTATAACTTTCGATTCAACACCGAAGTATAGTTTGCGTAATGGTAGACGCACCATTCCAACAAATAAGTAACGTTCAAAACTTCGATGTAGGTTTTTCATAACGCTATACACACTTCACGTTCTTTTGCAAGCGTTTCAATCTCTCAGCTAGTTTCAACGATTACTTAGTGAATTCCTCCTATCTAACGATTCTCAGCAATTCGTTGACGGCCAAATCACAAACGATGGTACCACATACAATGGTGTTACTGGTACCTAGACTCAGGGGGACTAAGAGCAATGACAAAAGTGCACAATGCCGAAAACTAAGCGTACAGGTTAAGATATAACCTGATGAAACAACTGACCTGGAGTAGGCAGGAAGTGGAGTGCGATACGATTTGCAGCAGTGGACTCTGCAGCTACTCTCACGTCACCTGCATTTCTTCGTAACCTAACTGATCTCTTGACTTCACACCTTTTCCTTAAAACTCCTCGCTTAAAATAATGTTTCTACCCCTGACCGATAAGTGAGCTGTTTATCGGCGAGATTTTGTAGCACCTAATATGTTTTATTATCTTCCATTTGTTATTAGTACCTACATGTAATTACTGTGCACCACCATATTGTCTCTACAGCCATGACACGGTAGCACTCAACAAGCAACACCACGATCACGCCTCCCCTATGACTATTTAAAGCGTGGTTGCTATTGCAGCGAAAAGCATGAGTTTTACTGAAATGTTTATAACTTCATTAGGCTTTTGTATATAGGTTTTCTGCGCACGAGCGAATACCTGGTCCAAAATCTTCTATTCTTTCTATTCCATAGGGATATCTTCGGCTTCAGTTCAGTTTCCACCACCTTTGTACGCACCTTCATCTTCTTCCCCACAAGTTTATCTATGGACAGTAGGTTTGATACGTCTTCAAGTAACTTTTGTAGTCGGTACAATGAACTCGCCTACATGTACCACGGTCGATGTACTTCTGCGCAGTATTTCTGTGCTCCTGTCCCGAATTTCGTCCACTGCTAGCTTCTGTTATTCATTTTTCAGGTTTACCTAACCAGTCATTCATCCGTGTGGAATCCTAGTAGTTTGATTTGTCAGCGTGCACTATGCCATCGAGTTTGTGCGACGTTGGAGCACACAGCTATATGCTACGTATCTACTGGCTAACCGAGCCCAACAGCTGTAGAGAAGTGTTGAGGTAGTTTCTTCATTGCGTATCGCAATACGCTCACTGAGTGTAACAACCACCAGGAGGCTTACCGAAAAGGTTTCTGCTAGCCTGGGATGAATAGGAACGGTTAAAATCGTCTTGGACAGCAAATGTCAACCTACTGAACATGCTTCTTCGTGCGTGAAATCAGAAATTATTGAATGAATTCTTCAGTTGGTTTTCCTCCGTTGATTTTCAATTTTATGAAAAATTCCACAGTGAGCTTACTTAGTCATCAACACCCTAAATGCCACCACACAAGGAAACCCGACTACAATAACTGGTCCAAGGCTTCTTATCGGCCATAATTGCAGCGGAACTCCGGAAAAACAACCAAATGTAGGAAATAAACTCACCTAGTGGCTCTAAGTGAAATATATTGGCGAACGAATTCACGCAACAAACTTCTCCAGTACCTTATCTCACTTGATCCAATCTAGCAGAAAACAATGAACGGTCAGCATAACCTCTTGATAATGCTGCCTACTTCACCGTGGATTCTATGTGCGAATCTCCATTACAGTTGGATAACAGTCCTTCAAGTGTTTATTTCTTTTCACTGCAACAGTTAATTCTGATGGCTTACTTCTCCATTGTTGTGTAAGGTAACATAACGGCTGGGAGTTATGTGGACTTGGATATTCAAGTGGATTAGATAGTTATGTTGACGCTCACTGTTATCTGAAATCGATGAGGTGAGTCTTTGTTGGCCAATGTTACCACAAGCGTGTGAAGTGGTGTTAAAATAAACGCTTATATGACGAAACACGGGACTGTACCGACAGGTTAAGCATCTCGGTCAAACGTAATGCTAACGTCGAATATTGTGGTACTTTAATGCCATTGATGAGAAAGGAACGGTTGGTGGAAACGACCGAAACTCATAAAGAATCCGTGCGTACTGTGAAGTGATATTTTTATGTTCTTTTCATAACCTGCAGTCACTATTGACGCCATGATAAACACTGTGTCCTCCCCTCTGTATCATTAAGGACAGCTCCGCTAATGGAGATTTCTCCACCATTATCAATATGATGATGCCGGTAGACTGGCTTCACTCATGTTGGAATATTTGTTAATTTATTATCCGTTGGGTCGGACTTGTTGGGTTACTACTGACTAACGCTTGACTAGCACGACGTAAATTAATGTGAGCCACAGCCCAACTTATCAGTAACTAACCCACCTGTAGGTAAAGATAACAAAGGACTAACTGGAAAACACTTTGTGTAGTGAAAAGTACTCAGACAAACAATTTACTCATGATTCAGAGATCATGAGGTTAAATTAGAGGAAGAATGTTAACTTATCTGCCTGTGAATGGATAAACTCGGGACCTTGGGCTGGTATCTGCCGACCAGGAAAAGGTAGATGCAGAAATGGCGGATATCAGTGCGTGGATGTTCATACACTGACACAAATCCGAAGGATTGAAGTCATCCGTCTGCTCCGTAAAACATTACTGTGCCATTGTCGAAACATTTTAAAGGGTTATTTATTTATTTTAACCATAGCATTAGTTTAACTCCAAGGAGGGCGTACCACACATCCAAAGCGTGTCAAAAATGCTTAGCCACCAGCCATAAAGAGGGCCCTAGGGTTGTTTACCAGTGCCAGACTATCATCTCAACCACGTCCACTTAGATATTGGTATAACCCCACACTTGATGGAGAACAGCTTCAGAGAGGAGCTACAAATAATTTAGTCGGGGTGTGGCACAAACCCAATCGAAAGCTCTTAGTTATACTCTAGCTGCACCTGGAACAATACTGCGGAAGAGCAAGAGATATGTTCATATTGCACCACATCTCTCACAATCCCCTTCATCCTAACTGACTACTCTTAAGCGGTGATTAGAAAAGCCACCTTAGTGGTCATCCTTTTAGAATATAGCCTGGGAAAGCACTTTCGACAATTCGCGCTAACTGATTTGCGGGTGGCATATGTTAACTGTGAAACTTTCTTCCCGAAGAAGTTGCCACACCACCTGCTCCCTTGATGCCATCAAGGGAAATCCATCGCATATATAGAGTCCTTTATGTGCAAGTGAAAGAGACTCAAGAGGCCATCCGTCGTCTTTTGAATCACTGGTATGAGCCCTATCTGCATCAAGCTGATTAACTGACTAGTTGATCAATCGCTTCTACCCTTTCAGGTTTCTTTGAGGTGGATGTTGAACAGAAGGAACCGTTGTTCACCACTTCCACAACACAAAGATTGAAGACAGACGTGGATGCTCTCGAGAAGGTATAGAGAAAAGCGACGGGGTCGGTTGTCGGGGTACCAAACAAAACATATGCTCAATGCCTCAGATAACTCAAGCTGTTCACTTTAAGCTGTCGAGGGAAACGAGGTGACCTGATAACAGCTTACGAGTGGATCAAGTAGACCACTCAAATTAGTCAACATCATCTATCTCAAACCGACAGTCTTGCAGGGACGTCGCTGCAGTTCCATAGGGCAAAGATGAGAGTGGGATCGAACTTCCTTTAACGCAGAGTAAGTAACTTATGGAACGCTCTACCGAAGGAAGTAGCCTCAGTTATATCAGTAGGCTCCTTCACATGACTACTTGATAAGTATGTGAGCGCAAACTGCTTATCGTGAACATTTCAAGTAACGCTTAATACTTACTTGCAGGTGCCTACAAAAGCAGGAATCCCAAAAGGTTAGTTGATTTCATCAGCAGACCTATTGACCCGCAAGACAAATTAAGCTACAATTTACAGGAAAAAATACCTTCAGATAGACAATCACTCCCACCGAAGCTATAGGCAAGAAAAAAGTAAAGGCTCCTGTGGCCACCGAAGGATTGCAGCAGAACAAAAGGAGCCGAACCTCAAGACCTAGAAGCGAGAGCTCAAAAACTACATGTTTCCTCTACTCGCACTACTGATTTTGAATGTCGAATGATCAAAGCCACTTGTTCGAACAAATGATAAATGCCACACTTTTGAGTCTAGAAGAAAAATGGGAACACGAATAGAAAGTGCACTGTCAAAGTACGGAAGACTTCCGTAACGTCTCATCTTGTACAAGGTATTCATTATATACATAAAGGTAAGATATCGGCCTTCACTGGCCTCAAGTAAACCAATCAGAACTGCCCTTGACTTTGTGGGAATTCAAATGACTCACTAAGCAAATTCGTTTTTCCGACATGGGACGTTTCAAGAAGGTAGAATGATTTCTGTTGTATATTCTTCAGGGAGATATTGTCACATTTACTGATGAGGGTTCCCAGTTGTTTGGAGAGGTTCTAAATGTGAAGAATGATAGCCTGGATGTTAAAATTTTGATTGACAAACAGGTATGTTTATTGAAAACGAATCCATCATGGTATGTAGGAAAAAATTATGCGAGTACCGTACACAAAAGTACAGAAAGGAGCCAAATATTTGGTTGAAGATATGGATAATATGGTTAACCTACCGTAAGCAGCATTTATGTATGAATTCAATCAATTTTTGCAGGAATATGTCTGCTATTTCCATGCTGGAAACTCTGAAACTACGCTACTCCAGATCCAAAATTTATGTAATTCATAGTTTCATTATTTTTTTCAGACTTACATTGGGAATATAGTGATTTCCGTTAATCCGTATAAGGATTTACTTATTGATGGACCAGAAATAATGGCCAAATATTTTAACAGAATGCTGACAAGTGTTCCAGCGTAAGACCACATTTTTCATCTAAATTCTTAGGCACCTGTATGGACTTTCCGAAACACTTTATCAAGCCGCTCTAAGAAATGAATATGATCAAATTGTTGTGATTAGGTTTGTTGTTTTTACCTATTGAATGTATCTTAAATTTTGAACTAACTCATTCTATAAAATAACACTGCATTTTCATAGGTTTTCATCGAGTAATGTATTGTTTCAGTGCATACATTTATTTCAAACCATTAACCACTTCTGTTTCGCAACTGCTGCTGTAACGTATTTACTCATAGTTGATGGCATTTGATTTACGTTTTAGTGGAGGTGAATGCAATTCTATTCGTTTGTCAACACACTGCAGCCTATGGTTGTCTTATCACTTAAGTAGTCTTTTCAACTGTACGTGGGTAGATACGTTAGCGATTTCAACTAAAATTAGTTGGGTTGTTTTTGAAAGGTAACATATATTGTTTGTTAGGTCTGAAAAACTATTTTGATCGAAGACGTGGTACACTCATCACACTGCTGGCTAGGGCAACATCCACACCTATTAATAAGGTTCTCTGTCTTCCTTATTTCTACTTGTCTTAAGAAATTCAGTAATTTTTCATGTGGCAGACTGCAAGTACTTTGACTTGATTGCCTGTTAGACAACAAACTCAAACTTCTCTTTGCTGTAAAGAAGCTTCGAAATCGATTATGTACATACATATATAGGTAAGTCTTCTTAATGTGCAGCTGAAACTAGTCTAATTGCACAGGAAATACTTACTGACGTTTACATTTTACATTGTCATAATAGATTTCACTGTATATATCACAAAGATAACTTTTGGGAGTTGTACCTGAAGTGCATGCTTCTTATCTAATACCTTTTTTCATTTATGTTTCCGTTTCGTGTTTTATGAACTTTTACTACACTTTTGTGTGATCTTGTGACCTTTTGTAACTAGTGGGGAATCTGGCTCTGGGAAAACCGAGGCATTCAAGCGCATAACACAGTATCTAGCGTGTGCTAGTGAACAAGGCAGAAATGGCTTGAGTTCTGTTGCTAAGCGGGTTTTGGAAAGTACTCCAGTTCTCGAAAGTTTTGGAAACGCCACCACTCTACGAAACGATAATTCATCAAGATTTGGAAAGCTCGTGGAAATATTCTTTGCAAAGTATGCTTAAAGTTAGTGTTTGTTATGATTTTGTCATTTATGTAATCTAGTGGATTCTTTTCCATAGTTATATGATGCTGAATTATTAATCACAGTCAAAGTAGTTTTTGGCAATTTTGTGTAGATATTAGAAAGTGATAAGTTATGTGTAGCTCTAGGTAAGAATGTCAATAAATTCTTTGTTACGTGCCGCGTTTTTTTGCCATGCAGAGATATCTTCAGAAATGTTCTCAGTTCTTGACCTAGAATTTAAAATAAAAAAATTTATATTGGGGCTAATAACGTCTCCGTTTTACAAACACTTCTTCAGTAAGTGCAATGCTTTTCTTGTGTTTGAAGTTTCAACTTGAAACAACGTTTAGCCTTAGAAACGTACTTCCGCAAGAATATTGAATTTATTCAATTGCATTTTTTTTGAATCACTGCTGGTATTGAATGCACCATAGTTGTTGAGCTTAGTCAAATGAGTTAAGCGGGTCTGCTGAAGTATCAAACGCTGGGGATGTTTGGAAAATGACTCTCACAAGAAATGCCTTTTGGTTTTGGAAATGGTATATAGTGTTAGCTGTCTAAACCGTTTTATGAAGGAAAACACAAAAACGGGAGGATAAAGGCGAATAGTGTGTATTATAATTCATGTTGTAGCAGACCCTCATGTACATTATCTAAAGCCGATGGCAATATGTTTCATTTTTGTTCAACTTGTAAATTTCTTATCAGTCTACAACTGTCAACCGCCTCAAACAAATTGTTTTACCTTCACTTTCTTGCTGCATATTATCATTATTTCCTTTTTTATTTTATTATATATGGTGTTTTATTTTTGATTTATATTTTCTGTGACAGCTTTTCATGTTACTCACCTTAGATGTTTTAGTTCCTTCGAAATCTTCTATGTTCCTTATTTTTTTGTGAGAAATCGCCATAATTTGATTTGCTTAGACTGACTTCAGTATATTTTGGAGGGTGCTGATAGTTTTCATTCTATCTGCAAGAATTTATTTCTTGTTGCTAACGTACTGGATCAGTTGGCAAAGTAGTTTATGGTTTTTATGGTCATAGTTTCAGCTGTTGTGTGGGCAAATTTGTAAATGCTAGTTGGGTTTTTTGAAGCATTTGGTAGTCTATGTTTGTAAACGCCATGAATGTCATGTCCTTATAAATAACTTTGTTAACTTCATGTTAGGCTGCGCAATATTACGTTTGCGTAGGGAAGAAAGTTTAGATCATGTCTTATTTACTGGAATTAAAGTAAAGGTTCCCGCAGGGTTAAACCTCAGTGAAATTATTTTCAATCTCACTAATTCCATAATGTGACGCAATCATCCACTGGCCAGTATCCAATGACCTTTGTAACTGTTTTTGCGTGGAACAAGACTAGATATGTATGGCTCTTCCTAATTGACACAGCTGATACAGGCTTATCAGCATGTTGTGTGATATACTTTAGGATTGCTCGCATGTTAGTATTTCTTTGTCAGCAACAGTGAGCAAGTACTACTAACCACAAATCCCTAGCAATTAGTGACCCGGTTTTGCATGACCACATAGTTATTAGAAAGTAAACAGCTTTGGAGTACGCTTTACACCAGTAAGCCTCCGCATATTTCTCCCGATTTATAAATAACATACAGTGGAAAAAATTGTTCGAAACCCTTGTGTCTATGTTGGGGTTTTGTCAGGCATCAGTCCAGGTGGGGTGCTTCCATTTTAAGGTAGGTTAGATGACCAATTAAGCTGATAAATTGTTTCATAGTGTCAGTTAAGATGCTAGTGCAGATAAGAAACCTTTCTAATTCCATAAGTGTCGGTTGCGAACACTTCATATGAAACATTTTAGCGGTATTGAGGAATATGATTCTTGCTTTTAAATTTTGCGCAAAGCTATCATAAACTTGAATAATCTGTACCATTTTATTTTGGCGGTTTCTGATCCCCCATAATTTTTTGTTACTCTCTGTAAACTCAAAAAACGGGTGGCCAAATTATAAATTCTCCTAGTGAAAAACTATAAATACACATAGCAAATTTGTAAATGCTAGTTGGGTTTTTTGAAGCATTTGGTAGTCTATGTTTGTAAACGCCATGAATGTCATGTCCTTATAAATAACTTTGTTAACTTCATGTTAGGCTGCGCAATATTACGTTTGCGTAGGGAAGAAAGTTTAGATCATGTCTTATTTACTGGAATTAAAGTAAAGGTTCCCGCAGGGTTAAACCTCAGTGAAATTATTTTCAATCTCACTAATTCCATAATGTGACGCAATCATCCACTGGCCAGTATCCAATGACCTTTGTAACTGTTTTTGCGTGGAACAAGACTAGATATGTATGGCTCTTCCTAATTGACACAGCTGATACAGGCTTATCAGCATGTTGTGTGATATACTTTAGGATTGCTCGCATGTTAGTATTTCTTTGTCAGCAACAGTGAGCAAGTACTACTAACCACAAATCCCTAGCAATTAGTGACCCGGTTTTGCATGACCACATAGTTATTAGAAAGTAAACAGCTTTGGAGTACGCTTTACACCAGTAAGCCTCCGCATATTTCTCCCGATTTATAAATAACATACAGTGGAAAAAATTGTTCGAAACCCTTGTGTCTATGTTGGGGTTTTGTCAGGCATCAGTCCAGGTGGGGTGCTTCCATTTTAAGGTAGGTTAGATGACCAATTAAGCTGATAAATTGTTTCATAGTGTCAGTTAAGATGCTAGTGCAGATAAGAAACCTTTCTAATTCCATAAGTGTCGGTTGCGAACACTTCATATGAAACATTTTAGCGGTATTGAGGAATATGATTCTTGCTTTTAAATTTTGCGCAAAGCTATCATAAACTTGAATAATCTGTACCATTTTATTTTGGCGGTTTCTGATCCCCCATAATTTTTTGTTACTCTCTGTAAACTCAAAAAACGGGTGGCCAAATTATAAATTCTCCTAGTGAAAAACTATAAATACACATAGCAAATTTGTAAATGCTAGTTGGGTTTTTTGAAGCATTTGGTAGTCTATGTTTGTAAACGCCATGAATGTCATGTCCTTATAAATAACTTTGTTAACTTCATGTTAGGCTGCGCAATATTACGTTTGCGTAGGGAAGAAAGTTTAGATCATGTCTTATTTACTGGAATTAAAGTAAAGGTTCCCGCAGGGTTAAACCTCAGTGAAATTATTTTCAATCTCACTAATTCCATAATGTGACGCAATCATCCACTGGCCAGTATCCAATGACCTTTGTAACTGTTTTTGCGTGGAACAAGACTAGATATGTATGGCTCTTCCTAATTGACACAGCTGATACAGGCTTATCAGCATGTTGTGTGATATACTTTAGGATTGCTCGCATGTTAGTATTTCTTTGTCAGCAACAGTGAGCAAGTACTACTAACCACAAATCCCTAGCAATTAGTGACCCGGTTTTGCATGACCACATAGTTATTAGAAAGTAAACAGCTTTGGAGTACGCTTTACACCAGTAAGCCTCCGCATATTTCTCCCGATTTATAAATAACATACAGTGGAAAAAATTGTTCGAAACCCTTGTGTCTATGTTGGGGTTTTGTCAGGCATCAGTCCAGGTGGGGTGCTTCCATTTTAAGGTAGGTTAGATGACCAATTAAGCTGATAAATTGTTTCATAGTGTCAGTTAAGATGCTAGTGCAGATAAGAAACCTTTCTAATTCCATAAGTGTCGGTTGCGAACACTTCATATGAAACATTTTAGCGGTATTGAGGAATATGATTCTTGCTTTTAAATTTTGCGCAAAGCTATCATAAACTTGAATAATCTGTACCATTTTATTTTGGCGGTTTCTGATCCCCCATAATTTTTTGTTACTCTCTGTAAACTCAAAAAACGGGTGGCCAAATTATAAATTCTCCTAGTGAAAAACTATAAATACACATAGCTTTATCGTTTGTTCTCCACCGCTTGAGAAGCCAGTTTCTTCTTCTTTTGGAGGATAAGTTTTTTTAATGGTTGGACAAAGAAGCCGACTAGAGAATTGAGTATTGGTTTTACAAGGCTTTGATGTCGATATTATCTGTTCCATTTTAAACTGAATTCTGTTAGCCTACTTGCAGATTTTTTGATACTTTTACTTGAGGTGTTCAGAAGACTACATTTTAGCAGCATTTTTGCTCTGTAGAACCGTATTACACGTCTGTTTTATTTATTGTGGGACATATGCGGCGAGAAAAGCAACCCTGAGGAAATTGAAGGAAGAAACAATAGCTTTAGAAATTCTAAGGAAAAGTGAACAAAATGGATAGGGTAGATTTTTATGGCAAACCAACCCAGTTAATCATTCTGATGGTGATGTATTATTAGCTCCAGCCTGCAGCAATACGATCCAATTCAAATAAAAACTGTTCATTGGAAACATTTTTTTCATTTGTTATTTATATTGGTTACTTACTGCAGTTATCATTAATAGATTTCAAGGCTCAGTCTCAAGTTTAAGCTATCGCTGCGTACGATCAGGATTAGCCTTGATGCTTGAAAATCGGTTATGTTTATGCAAATTGGCTGGACTTCTTTCTCAAATTAACTTTGTTTCCAACCAGAAACCCCATATATAAAGTGTTTTGTGGCTTTGATATTGTGTATTTCGACAAAACACAACTTTGATCAGCCACTTCAAGTTAAGAATTTCAATTTTTACGATATGAAGAAAGGAAGTGAACCATAGTATAAGACTTAAAACAGATGCTAGTTTCAGCTAAAGGCACTACAGTGTGAAATACTGTAAATCAAACTCTTGCGACAGAACCTGTGGTTGTACTTATATGTGAAAGTAAGTTATGCTGAACCTAGGATTTTTACTGACATCATATGATCCTATGGCTCTTTAACTTTCCCAATCAATGTCGTTTAGTACTTTATGTCTAAGGAGGAAAAGGAAACACACTCAAACACTTTGTGCACATCCATACGGTAGGCAATGAGCTACACCTGTTGTGTGGGGGTGTTGATACAATGTGGCTGCCTAAACCCCAATAGGTGGATCGGGGCTTATGTTTATGAATGACTAACAAAAGTGACGTGACTGTTTTACTTATGCAATGATTGATTACATGTTAGTTACTTAATGAAGGGTATTAGTGCGACCCATAGAGTCCATTCGGTCTGAATATGGGACTTACACAGGTAAGTTGTGATGTTTCTGATGAAACCCGAACTATATGAGTGAAAAACAGCGGAAATTTTCATTAGCTTAAGTAGAGAATTTGAGCAGTATAGTGGAATATACTTTCATTTTAGATTGGTTTATTTAACATACCACAGAGTGGTACAGTGTTATTTATTCAGTAAAGAATTCTATATCCCGGGTCGAATATCAAATAAACTAACGGAATAGATAGACTGTAATTCTGATTAAAAGTTACTTAATTAGTTGGTGAGGTTGAATTCTAAATATAACAGTCGCCTATTGCGAATCATTTTGTCCCACAGTTTATTTTGAGTAACACACCGTGATACAATTTACTCATATACTCTTTAGATCAATGATAATTGGAGCGAAAATTACTAACTTCTTACTTGAAAAATCCAGAATAGTCGGCCAGGTGAGATAGAGATTTTGTTTCGCTAATTTCTTTGTAATTTACACATTTCTTCTCCTTCAACTACTCTAGTCTGGAAAAAATTGGCTGCGAAACTTTCATTATTTTAGTGGATGACATCGGTGCAAAATTTAAAACGATGTTGAAATCGAAACCTAGTTTTTAACCTTGTGCACATTCATGCAGTAAGCAATGAGCCATACCTTTTTTGTGGGGACTAGTGATACTACCTGGCTGCCCAAACCTCGTTAGGTGGAACGGTGTCTAAACCCGTGACCCACCTGCTGGAAGTCAGATGAGCCATCACTTCTTTAAAAAGATATGGTATACTGTATTAATGCAAAGGTGATACTGTGATATGCAATAACTGTTATGTTCGCTTTACCCCATCTTCGCAACCGTTGTGACTGACCTATTTCATATGGTGTTCTACAGGTGATTTTAGTCATTATGACTGGTTGTTTGATTGGACTGGTTAGTGCATGCAATGTTATTGCATGTTCATGCTAGCTAGTAAAGTAGCAAATGTTTGAAACTTCTACTATCACTAATAGCTTTAAATATGCACATTTAATACTTCAAAACATGAAGTCTAAAATGTATATCTTTGTTGTATCATGTCGATTGAAAATGTGGATATATTTATTCAGTGTAGAATGCCTAACACTCAGACAAAAATCTTCAGTGAACTGATCGTTGTAAGTTAGCTGATGATGAACTGTAGAAAACGCAAGTGGTTCTGTCAAGTTATGTGTGTTTTATCAAAAATTCCCAACTGTATTAACTCACTGATTAGTGGTTAATTTGAAAGCCTATTGATCATACAGTAGAAACTAGTTACCCAACAAGGTGGAATTACACCGAAAGCCACTAACCTTTATTCCGTTTTTAATGTTATTTAGGAGCAAATAGTGTTAGTCGCCTCATCTATCCTGGGTTCGACACCTAATGAAATATGTTGCAAAGGCAGTTTTTCTAATTCATGAAGTAGTTGTATATTTCAACCCATCAGTAGTAGTTCACAAATTGTAGCGTTGAAATCTTTAATTGTGACGATGAACAAAGAAGATTCGAGTTTTTATATATGTTGTTCAAATGAAGCATTAAGCTATGTACTATGGCAGATATTGAACAGATATTCCCAACTTTTCGGTACCAGTGGTCGAAATCAAACATGATAGGTGTTTCACAAGCTAACATGCATTTTAAAGACCATCACTCCATTGAAATTCTGGGAAACCATGGTAAGGATTACAAGCAACCTTCTGAATTATACTAGTGGTGGTCTGATAGATAGGAACTAGATTACATACAACAATTAAGTTACTGTCTTAACAATAAATGAAGACCTCACTTTTCAGTCTTGAGGTCAAAATAGTTCCATTTCAAAGTTGTAAGGCTTATAGCTATAGACATTGTGCTCTGTCATAAAATGATGACCCATAAACATATGCTATTTAGGTATTAAAATACTACCTAAGTTAAATTCTTTTCCACTGATTCATAATTTGTTTCATCGTATATATGCATTACTTATTGATTGTTATTAGCCTGAAAAAGAACGCAATTATCATGTGTTCTATGAATTGTTGAGTTCACTAGACAATGAAAGCAAGGCTAAACATCATCTTAAAAGTGTCGAAGATTATCAATACCTTATGAAAGTAAGTGAGCTTATCCATTTTATATGTACATTTTACTTTAAGCACTTTCTAGTTTAATGTGTAGATGGATGAATTATATCCTTTTTACTCAGCAAAAGAGTATAGTTTATCCAGACGAATTTTGTTATATATCTATGATATTATCAATTTTTGTGAATTAATGAGCGGGAAATAAGAAATGACTCCTTGATATCAGGATAATACTTGAACGATTTGTGTACTGCTTCACTTCTAACAACTTTCATATGATTATTATATGAAATGCTTAACCTAACAAAGATAAAATTACTGACTTAGTGGACATTAACAAGAATTTTTGAAGGGAAAACAGTGCCAAGAGAAACTTAAATGAGCAAATTTTATTGTTATTTGAAGCTATGACTGACTGCATGTTGAAAAGTACTCCAAAAGACGTTGAAACGTTTACTCCTGACTTTTAATCACTGTTGTTGCTTCCAAAACGTTAGTATATTGTGCTGTAATTAATGGGATTGTAACAATGAACGCAAAGAGTTTATTGTTGACTTGTATAAAGTTACGAAATCTCAATCAAACAGATTCTTAGCAATGAATGATAAGTAGTAATGAAGGTTTTAAGGAAATTTGTCAAAAAACGAAAGAATATGATTAAGGGGGAGGACTAAATATTCAGTTAACACAACCTCTGCTTAACTTGAAATTAGTCTAATACTAGATAATTACGAGATACCAGCTGTTTAAAAAGTTCAGTATTTTGGTGGCCACATTAATTGAATTCACACATCCGTAAATCAACAAGTTTTATTAAACCCTTAAATTAGCCTATCACACTAACAATATGATCTGGATAATTTACTCAGACGCTTCATTAGAGAGGCTTGTGGCCTTAACTTTCCTGTTTTCTCTGAGTTTCGGATAGAAAATATCGGTTAGTGTATTTCTACATAATCCTGCTATCCTATATAAGCATGAAAGAGATCTCTGGCATTCATTGGCAATTAGGATATGGTCTTCGACAATACTGTCAATCTTAGAATTGACTTAAATTGTGAAACAAAACCAATCTTAATGATACTGTTGCATAAGTTATGCACTCAATGAGGAGTAAACAAGAAAGACTAGGAGTTTGCCGTCAAGCACAATTAGGTAGGTGGTTATTGCTAAAACTTCTGACCATCAGTGTATTTCTTTATCATTTTACAAACTTTTTGATATTGCACAGCACTGTAACATTGTAACCTAATAACAAAAAGACAAACAATTTAGCCCAAGAAAAACTGTTCCATTATCATTTAAAAACTTTGTCACTAATTCTTATTTAATCTCAAAGGGTTCAAGACGCGTCTTCACAAGTCATTCTGATCCTGATGGTTTATCAATGCTACTGGAAAGCTGGCGTACACTGAGTCTTCCACAGGACGAAATGGATTTATGTCTTCGTGTAGTATCTGCTGTATTACACCTAGGAAACATTAATTTTAAAAGTGATTATGACAAGGTTAGTTTACACGATAATTTAAGCTAGCTGAGTAGATCATCATTCCTCATTTTTGTCAGTAAATTAATGTATCATATTGATATAAATATGTTTACTCATTGCACTAGATTTTATCTAGTATAACAAGTGGGTCATGGCTTCGAACCCCAATCCACCCACTGACGTCTAGGCAAGTAGGTAGTATCACTAACTCTTACACAATAGGTGTGTCATATCACCTATTGTACCGAAGTGAACAAGGTGGTTGAATGCATTTCGTTTCGTACTAGATTTTATGATGTTTATTCAACCTCTAGTAGGCTTAAATATATCAGCGTGCCCACAAGTATTTTTTTCATTTTTTCGGTTAGTTCAATGGGTAACGTATAAAAATATATTCCAGTCTGTAATTCATCATTATATCTGATACTATGGTGAATAGGCTAACATAAACTAAACAAGGTCATTGAAAGTGAACTGGGAAAAAATCAAAGTAATTACAACTAATGGGTATACTTTATGAAAGGGGACTTTTGTTTATCGGTTTAAACACGCATCTTTCAGTAAATAGAATCCAGACTTGAAATTTCCCCTCAAATGTTGCAGTTTGGAAAGCGAAATATTATTACTATTTTCCATACTATAGACATTTTAGGTACTTCACTGATGAGTTAAATCATACTTCAAAATATTGCAGACATATGATATAATACAGCTAACAACTAAATAATGAAGCATTTAAGGCATGGATGAAACTGTATGAAACACTGTTTTCTTGAGTAATGGGCCTATGAAGTAAGCAAGTCTAGAGTTGAGAGTATAGTTCTCTGTTAAGCCGGTTAGTCAACAAGTGAAATTGTAAGGTTGTATCTACTGAAGAATTGAGACATGTATTATGCATACCAATACAATTATCACTGAGATGTGTAAAATTAAGTTGAAACTAAAATGATGCACAGTAGATAGAGATGTGAAACTCATTCATGAACTTATTGATTATTCGTTTGTATGACTCAAAGAAATGCGAATGTACAGATTTTGGAACCAATGGTTAGAGAACATAAAATACCTGGTTATAGATTAACCTTGCCGGTTTATATTCAGTTACTTTTTATCTTTCTGAGAGTGTCAAACAACTTATTAATATGGTTGGCTTTCCTTTCGATTCATTTAATTCTCTTTATTTCTTCAACTAATGCTGTAATTATTACCACTTGTATACATTTTGTTCTTTTGACATACTTAAACAACTCAAAAGCTGACAGACTTGCAAAATGAAATAATTTCATTTTATTTCATGAATATTCAACAGTTTTATATGACTTAGGATTACGTATCTTTTTCAAGGTAAATGATGATTTACATATGATTAGATCAACGTTTATATTTATAAGAAGTGTCAAACGAAGAAAAGAATCATGAGAAGGGAGTTGCTAAACAGTTAAAGGAATATGTAATCCAACGAATAATCAGCAAACATCAAGATAAATGCTATAAAAACTCATTAAGATAAAAAGGAAGACGTGACTCAAGAAAAATAACAACGAGTAGCTAGGGAGAAGAAAGATTGATCATAGTTGCTTTTATATGCAAGGGTCACATTGAAAATGTTGGCAGCTTTAATTTATTTATTGCTTATAAGGCTTCGAAGACATTTACTGGGTCCGGTTTTCACTAACTGTTTGGCTAGTGCCGTTGTAGAAACCTTTATTCCTTTCAAGTACTAATATCTTAAAATTATTGCCCACCACTTAGTCGTTCCTGTGTACTTCCTTCCATAAGTGATTTGATGAACACAGTTGGAAAAATTATCTTCTTTAGATTATCATTTTGACTGAGTTAACCGTGGTTTGGTGGACTTGTATTATTACTAGGCGATGATTGAAGGTGAAATGAAGATTTGGTTCGTGGCAGGGTTGGAACCAATGACCACCGGGCTTCCAGCTCAACTGACATGTGAATTCGTGACGCGTTACTGTCTCTGAATCGTACTACCATTGGCTGTCCAGTTAGAACTTCTTAAATTAACAAAGTTAACACATAGGGTCGTGAATTGAAGTCAGCCTAGTCCAACGGATAGTTTTTTCTATGTCTGTCTATTCTCTCTGAAATCTTACCCTCTTTAAATGCTAGATGAAAAAGAGCCGATTACTTCTTAACAATCTAATGTTTAGGTCTACAGCACATTTTCTTTCATACTTCAAAACTAACTTTCTGAGTATTCATTCTCCCTAAAAGTATTCTCAGTAATAAATAATTCTTCCAGTCAATCCATTTTATCACTGTATTTTTATTTGAATGCTAGTGGTGGCAAATGGAACCGATTCACTTTGATATTAAATAGTGACTTGCAATATCTCACTTTCTGTCTTACTAAATTACCATAATATAGTGAAAGATCTGTCCAGGCATTTGCAATATTCTGCATCACATCTAAAGTAAGTTAACCAATAAGTAAAAACTATAAGATCAGAAGTAACTACAAGGAATCAATTAAATATCAACTGACTAAAGAAAGAGTGATATCTTACTGAATACATAAATCAGGTTTGAGTCTTTTAATTACAATTACTTCAGCAAACCACACAAAGTAGGGTTTCACTCAGTTACTGATCACTTCAAACCATCTCAATGCATCGGCACTACATCCAGTATCAAGTAAGTGGTGAGCAGTAGTACCATCTAAACCCTGTAAACATTTAGGACTCGAACTCTTCACTGTATGTTGAGAAATGCTGACAAGAACCTTTCTCTCTGTTTGCACAATTTATGTTTCGGCACATAAATCTGAATTGGTAGAGGCAACGAGAGTTGGGAACTTGTCCACTTTAGATTGGCCCGATGAGGATTAGGTCCTATGTACTCAGACTATCTTGGAAGCTGGATGAGTCTTTTTCAGTGAAGCACTTATTCTGTGCTTCATCTGTATGGCAATTTCATCCCCTCTGATGAAAAAATGTAGATAGATGAGCTTATTCTGAGCTGTACTGCAGTTGATTCTCTTTGTTTCTGTCCTACCGTACTTATCAATGGATTTTTTAGGGTAACTCTTATCACACAGGCAGTGTTAGCCGAATGTCAGTTACTCCTCACTTGTCTCTTTACAGCGCAATTTACGCCTGCGGCTAAAAAGTGTTCGTACTAGGAGTTCTTTATAACTGATTTGACAAAAGCTGCCGAAGTTTCTGACAAATGTATCTATGAATCACTTCAACCATCGGACAAACTAGTGGAATGATAAGTTGACTATTTATAACATTAGTCTCATTTGGACATAAGCTTTTTACAGTTTCAGCAGGCTGTGCAAATATGGTAACCGAGATCCACGAAGTTTTAGCTCATTGAAGGTTGCGTTGTCTGTTTAATTCCTCCTCAAAAGTTTTTTTAATTCCCCTGTAACCTGTCTTTCTCTTGACTCATTCATATGCTTCTTCTTATAATCAGATAAAAATCTCGATAAGTCAGTTATCTAGGGTTGACATTAGTTTGTTCATGTATGTGTTTTTGTCCAACTCTGCAAACCTTATCCGATTGAAGAAACTTGATGTCTCTATTTTTCGTTTAACTGTTGAACTCCGTTTGGTTATTCTCCAATCGAACTCTAGACTAAGGAAATGGTAATATGATATGTAGATTAGCATTATCAACATGACGGATTCCTTCGACTTCCAGTTCCTACTCAGGCAACTGGTTTTAATAGATTGTTGAACTGCGTCTAAGTATATTTTCCGTTGTGAAATTTCTTGGGGATCCATCATAACTTAAGTCCTGCACCGAAAAAGACTCATCCAGCTTCCAAGATAGTCTGAGTACATAGGACCTAATCCTCATCGGGCCAATCTAAAGTGGACAAGTTCCCAACTCTCGTTGCCTCTACCAATTCAGATTTATGTGCCGAAACATAAATTGTGCAAACAGAGAGAAAGGTTCTTGTCAGCATTTCTCAACATACAGTGAAGAGTTCGAGTCCTAAATGTTTACAGGGTTTAGATGGTACTACTGCTCACCACTTACTTGATACTGGATGTAGTGCCGATGCATTGAGATGGTTTGAAGTGATCAGTAACTGAGTGAAACCCTACTTTGTGTGGTTTGCTGAAGTAATTGTAATTAAAAGACTCAAACCTGATTTATGTATTCAGTAAGATACTGTTTTCATTCTTGGTCTATCATGGTAATAAAACCTGCTCAATCTGTAAATACGACATTCCTCGATTCTATGACGTCCTATCTCTTCATTTTCTCTCTATTTATTGTAGAAGCTACTCTTAGTTTCTTATTTCTGTTCTTCTCATTATTCCATTTGATGAAAATGTGTTAATTTTTTATTATGCTCAGTTAACCGTTACTTTAGTTTTATTAATTCTAACACTGTACAGCCCCTCCCAGTTTTTGTTATCTCCTCCAGAATTTTTATTCTATCACTGTGTAAAGTTAGTCTTTTGTGTAGTCTTAATAACTTCATCAAATTTCATCAATGTCAGTCAGCCTAAATCTCTGTTACCCTCCAACTCAATCAACACATTCTTGTCGACTTATCAAAGTATTGGATAACATTTGTAGCTCAGGTGGATGGTCTTGGTTGTATTGTGTTCCCTGAGCTGAGTTGTTTAATCGTGAAGCTTTCATTGTCTTTCTGGACGACACCATCAGCTGATGGTGTCGTCCAGAAAGACAATGAAAGCTTCACGATTAAACAACTCAGCTCAGAGAACACAGTACAACGCAGATTTATCAAGGTTCATGTTTCTTCGTCATAAATATGTTACCACGTTGACTACCTGAGATAGTCATGGTTTGGTGGACTTTTATTGATACCGGGTGATGACTAAAGGTGAAATGAAAATTTGGGCCATGGCAGGATTCGAACCTAAGACTATCTTGTTTCTAGCCCTCCAGTAAAAACATTACATCCCATAAGCCGTAAAGCGACTGAGGGGAATCCACAAAATGCATGGACGGTAATTTTGTTACCATTTTTCTTCTTGTTAAAAATTTTGTAGATTTTCGCTCCTCACTCTTAACTTTGCAAACTAGCTTTTCAAGGTTATTAGAGTAATAAACTAAGATAATTCGGTGAAATAACTATTTCATACAGATAAACTGATCTTCAAAAAACCTCAATATCTTGCCGCTTCGCTGTTCGCATACAATATATGCCTTGTTCTCCATATCTCTTATCTGCATTATGCATTTTATGTTTAACATAGCCACTGTAAATTGTTGGTTTAGGCAGGCTGAGGAAGAGACTATGCAGAAAACAAACTGAGTCAACTAAATGAGACTATTCCGGTAAACTGAATACATAATTTATTTCTGAGATATCGGCAAATAGCAGACTTAATACTCAGGATACAAAGCTGAAGAACGATGAGATGATTAGCATCATAGGTGAACAAAAATGTTCGAAGTAAGTGAAAAAAACAGATCTCTTTTAATAGGCTAGTTTAATAATTTTCACCTCTTTTTTATGTTTGGGAACTAAATTGATATACAACTATATGTTTATTAGTTATAAATAATTCTTGTTTTCTCAAATATTTCAGGAGCGAACATCGATTGTAAATCCTAACGTCGCCGAAATCGCAGCTTCAGAGCTTGGGGTTGATGTGACCGAACTTACTAAAGTAATAACAATGAAACTAACAGTAAGTTCTTACTGTACATTAGCAAGATTTGAATTTTTCATGAAGCTACTCAGTACGCCTACTAGTTTACTCATAAATCCTAGTCTATGAAGATACTCTATTTAGCCACTCACTCTATAATCTAAATAGTATGTTTCTTTTTGATGATTTTACTAGTGATATTCAATGGAACGAGGAAATAGCTTATCTATTTGGCATATAATCTCAAGCAAAGCAATACTATTAAGATCCTTCTCCTGATATTTTCTCTTCTACATTTTCTGTTGTCATAAAGTTGAGATTTTGTAGTATTCTTTGAAATTTGTAGATTGAATTGACTGCTTTATTCACATCAAATTTCAGAGTCATGAGGAGTAATTGATGAATTAATTAATTGGTGTATTTGGATTTTACTCACCAACCAGCAGTAGCCTCTCACCGAAGCCTATTGTTTATTGGCAGTCATAATCTAGTCAGTCATTTTTGTTCCGTATGGAAGATAATTAAACTTTTTAGGCTTTAAAGTTTTTGTACACTATGAAGTCATCTAAGTCTACTTTGCAATGGCCATAAATTTCGACGAAACGGTTTGTTGTTGAGTACCTCTTCTGGTTTTCATCAGTACTTCATTCCAAAATTGAATCATGAAAATGGGCTAAAAACTTGACTGATTTTATGGGTGAACAGAAAATTCTGATCACTGAGAAGACATTAATGTGCTATTGTTGTCGTAAATAAATTTATTTCGTGCAAAGTGATCACATTATATATACCGTCGTTAATTCACAGCTAAAGCATATCGTTTAATGAAATGAAATGAAATCTTACATTATAGCGCATAATAAACTTGTTTATAAACATTTTATATACAATTAACATCTGTATTACATTACACTTGTATTTTACATTAAGGAAACATCTGTGGATAGTCTTTGGAGTCCTGTAAATACAGCTGGTGCCATAGTTAATCGTGATTCAATCGCGAAAAGTCTCTATGCGGAATTTTTTGATCGACTAGTTGACGCTATTAATATGAAAATTGCACCATCAGATTATTTAGATCCTGATACAAAATCATCCATACGTGCAATTGCTTTATTGGATATTTATGGTTTTGAGGTAGATATCGTGTTACTGTTGTTATTATCCTTGCTTTTGTTTTTTTGGTTATATCTTCATAGTACTATTAAAAGTGAATTCAAAACCTCTACAGTATTACCATATAGAGAAAGCACTTCAGAGAAATCACGTAGGATTCTCAATAAAACTGGGATTAAAGTGACATTAAACCTACAAGCTCAATTCGAAATAAACTTTGCAGATTAAAAGATCCCATTGATTCAATTAAGCAGAATAACGTAGTCTAGCAAATCCCTTGCAATGATTGCGAGGTCAAATATATTGTTCAAAGTAGTTGGCCTGTATCAATTAGGCCATCCGAGAGCAAACAAGTAGACAGATGAAGATCAGTAGATCATAGTAAGATAGGGAATTTAGAAAAGAAGGCTTAATCAAGGCAATGCATGCAATTATACACAAGCACGCAGTAGGATGGGATAGGGTGAACATCCCTAAAACTAATATGGTGGAGTGGAGGGAGAGATTGATAAGTGGATCTTTGTTTATTTAATCAACAGTTGATGTATGCATGAGTAGTGACTCGTCAGCTGTTCCGGATAACTGGAGAATCCTACTACCTATATGACAGCATGTGTGTGTGTTTGAGGGAATTAGGACTGTATAAAGCATGTGTTAGAGTTATGTAGTTATCTTGATATGATTGTATCCTAAACATAATGCAGTAAATAATACTCTTCCACTATGTGATAAGTCTAGTGAATCAGTATAAATGGAATTATATTTTTTTAATTATTATGCAATTGATGTTTACTTTATGCCAGTGCATTCCCCTGTTAAATCCGTGTCGCTGTCTTTAAGTGTATCTATCATTTCAGTTTAAAGGACTACATTTTACTGGAGGTAATAACGAAAGAAGCGATATGAACAGGAAATGCCATAAATCGACTGTTTCAAATATATGATCGTCATATACTTTACAGTTTCTTGGTTGAGTCAACCTATATTTTGAAATGTCATTGTTCTACATCTTTCTAAGTTGAGGCATTCTCTAAAAATTATTAGATACACTATTATAATCCTTTTACTAAACGATCTTAATAATTAAGGTTGGAAAGTGGAAATTTGATGTAATTCTGGAATAAATGTGAACATTTTCACCGAGATGGGGTTTCTTTTCCACCAACTAATCACTTTTGAGGTCATCGAAAGTTTTTGTCACCAGATCAACTTCAGGCAGAACCATTATTCTTTGTTGGTATGATCAATTCACACAAATCTGGTCAATTTTTCACTTTTCATACATCACAATTTGACTTCCAGTCATTTCCCAAGTTATACATATGAACTATTTGTGTGTATGGGAAAATATGATCTGAAGACGATTACGCTACTTTCCATTTTTAAAAAATTTGTTTTAGAACCTACCAAGCAATTCATTAGAACAATTTTGTATCAATTATACCAATGAAAATTTACAACAATTTTTTAATCATTACATATTTGAATTGGAACAAGAAGAATATCGTGCAGAAAATATTAGTTGGCAATATGTTCAATTCCCTAATAATCAACCAATCATTGATTTGATAGCTGGTAAACCTAATGGAATAATGCATATATGCAATGATGAAGCTAGTCTAGTGACAGTAAGTTCATATAACATAATTTGAAGTCACATTTCGAAGCGTCGCGGCAAACACCTGACTGAATGATTACTTATGTTTTCTTGATAATAATGTTTATATGCTGAAACTTCTGTTGTTTTGCTTGAAGATCTTCCAAGTTGTTTGGCTGAATATGATCTGTCTAAAGCACTATAAGAGAGATGTAGTTAGCGGGACTTGTAGTAAGTGTATTAGGCCTCGTATGTTTTAATCATTTGGATGTTCTAATCAACCTCTTAACTTGCCATAACTGGTTTGTCATCTGAAAAGTATACAAATCTGATTTCTCTTGTCATAATATTGCTCCCTATTCCCGGCATGATAAAATCTGTTTATCTGATTTACGCTTTTCCGACTTTAGTTGATACAGGAAAGTTCAGTTGTTCATATTACTGCATTACTTTGTAGTTTCCTGTTCCTATACAGACCCGAATCGCTCGACCTCTCTTGGCAGATGGTCTCCTATGCAGATCCTTCGTTACTGCCGGATATTCAGGTTGTTATCTTGATCTTGGTGGCTAGCAGAGTAATCCAGGAAGCGCGTTTTTTCTTATTTAGGACTCGTCAGCCGGACGTATCCTCACCTTAGCGGGTGATTTTCTCATTGAAACTGCAGCTCAGCACCCATCGCTTCAAACACCATCGCGTTATCCACTATGCCAGTGAGCACCATACCCATCTCTTGTCCAACGGACACCAGTTGTTTTTGTCATACTTGTAATTTCATGACTCCGTATTGAAACAGCAAATTACAATTATCATAGCAACAACTGATACCCGTTGCACAAAAGGTGGTTATTATGCCCCAGTGGCATAGTGGATAACGCGTTAGTGTTTGAAACGATGGGTATTGGATTCCAGTCCCAGCGGGGACCACATCACCCAAAGAGGGGCAGGTACATCCAGCTGACGAGTCCTAAACAGGACGAAACGGGCATCCTGGACTCCTCTGTCAGTCACCAAGATCAATATAACAGTTGTTTCAGGTTTAAACAGGATTTGCAGATTGTTCTTGATTAGCTTTGCTATTGAATCTGCCTTATGGTTGGACAGGATATACCATAAAGAGCTAGCTCCACATTTGTCATTTCGAAAACATTTTCAGAATGAATACTTCAATGATAAATCTATACAATATGTTTTTTTTCTATATGCACATCCCGTTGAGGCAAACAGATTGCTCCATATGGTTTACACTGATTTGGAAATCCACTAATGAAATTGTGTTTCTACAGTGCACTAGTAAAGTTTTTACGTTACCATAAATTTAACCAAAGTTGCACATAATCAACTGAATCTTACTCGGATTTTCTCACATTTACTCTTGCCCGTTGTAATAAACGTTAGTGGTCCCGTTTACGCATACTCAAAGGCTTGGTTCTAACTTCTGAGTAATAAGTTTTGTTATTATTAGTACTGTCGCTGCTATACGCTAAGTCTAAAGGAAGTTCCGTTCAAAAGCCTGATATTTTAGTTGATAGATTTAATAGTGAATATTCACTAACAGCATTCTTCCTGTTAGTAACCACTTTCTGTATCATCCTTTCAGAATCTGTGTGGGGTTAAAACAATGCTAGGATAACTGATACAATACAATAAGTTGTTAGTTAGTCAATATTCATGAATGGTTCATTTATACATTGGTGTTTTGTTGTGTTTTGATACTACTCCATGAAGAAATTGTGTTCTTCATTTCTAGAAGTGGTTAGAAATGCTGACATCAAAACCAACAGATAGATATGTTTAAATTGCGCCTACCAGTATGATCAATTCTAAATTCAGTATACCGGATCCAGGAAACCGGAAATATATTTTCCTGTCGGTATCAATAAACAAATAGAAACGCAGATACTAGGAAAGATCACATTCTGCTTTTCATTTCTGTTTAGGTGGTTTCATTTATGATCCGAATAAGTAATTCATCTATCACAATTCTGACTATAATACTACAGTAGATAATAATGCTACCCTATATGGCGCAGGGTTATCTGAGACTTATATAATGTGTAAGAACTTATTAAACTACTCATTTCGACAGACTAAAGTAGGTTGAGTGAGATTTCAACCAGTGAAAACAACCACTTAAAAGTAGAGTGCTAAAGTCAACGAGCCATATCTGCATTACTTATTGGAAGGTCAAACAACAAGTTTTATCATCTGAAAGCTTACATAGTACCCTTCAAGAGTACAGCTATTCATAGGTAGTGATATGAGAGAACAAGAACCAAATAAACTTATCATACAGAAAGTTAACAGAGTTTCAGATTGTCAGATCATTGTACATTTACGTAAGCCTAGTCACCATCTACCCTGCTGCACAATGTTGTCAGAAGTAGATTTAAGCAAGAAAAAGGTTGGGGGCGACCAGACTAATACATGGCACTAGTGCATGAAATCTTTGACAGTTGATGTGAGCCACGTAAGGAAAGAAATATAGGACTTCCAGTTGATGCCCTGACTGAAAACAGATGCTAGTGGTTAGAGACTCTAGATGACAAGCCTAAGAATTGATGGGTGACGCATATTTGTCCACTTATTATCTTCATCCTATTCGTTATGATGAATTTAGTATCTTCTTATTCCTCCTCGTTGTATGATCACGACTTTCTGACACTTCTCATCACTTTCTTTACTTCTTAATCTTTCTCACTTGATATGCTGATATGAGATGTGATAACTTAGACTGTTACGCAGTAACCCTTGGTCCTATGTTGCTCTTGCCTGTTTGTTTATCTATACGTTTACTGCTTAGATTACCGCATAGCGTTCAAAACGATAGTCATCTCTTTTTTTCAATTTTGTATAGGGGACAGATGAATCATTTCTACGACAGTGCCAGCATCATCATCAGAAGCATCCAAATTTCAAAATAAACAAAATACAAGGAAATAGCTCATTTACTATAGTACATTTTGCTGGAGAAATCGTTTATGATGTAAGCAAAAAATATTATTTCTAGGTTCACTACGATTGTAATTGATATTTTCCTTTGTATTCTTTTTTGAAAATGAGCTATCCATTTAAAAAAAAAATTGTGTAAAAGGATACATCAGTATGCTGATCATCAAAGAGCTACAATTTGATGTTACCCTTTTAAAACCATATGAATCTTCTGTGGTACCAAACGAATAGAGCAAATGTTTAACAGGTAAGGGGGGGGAGGGTGATATTCACTTTTCATCGACCAGTGCTTAAAAGTGAAGTAACCTATAAATTACAACTAACATATTCGATTAACCATGCGAAATCCAAAGAGCCTAATAAGAACAATATTTGAGGAATACAAAGACGTCATTTTATTCCATAGGATTTTCATCAGCTGCATACAGCCTGAATAGATAGATAACTTTTTAGAAGTAGTATTCATCATGGACTGACATCAGTTGGGGAACCACTGAAAATCTGGGAGCATTGGACAGCTGTTGCGTCCTAGTATGGCTGTAAGGATGTCAGTTAATGTCCTGAAGATCACGAAGAGCATTTCAATTCACATTGCAATTAAAGTTGCAATGATGAAATTCAATCAGATTAAAGATACATTGTATAAATCAGGGTGAGCGGTGATGTCGGCTAAGTGAGATAAAATTCGATAGAAGCAGAAGCAGTCAAGTAGTCATATGAAAAAAATTATCACAAATGTCTCATTGTGGATTTGATAGTGAAATGGAAATTATGCTCCAGAAGTTCAGAAGTGCACCTCTCAGTATTAAATTCATCTTGAACACCAGGGGGGGGGGAGAAGGGGGTGAGTATCAGCTAAACTTTCTCGACATATGAGTAAAATGCAAAAATACAGCAGAATATTCACTTACACTTCAACAGCTATTATTCAGTAGGCTACTCAAGAGGTTTAGTGGAAACACATCATAGAACATATTAAATGTGCTAGAGGAATAGGCTGATAGCAAAACGCACGCTGATTGTTCATTGTCTTACCAACAGTAGATATCCACAGTGAGACATGAGAACAACGTAATCCAGCCTAATTTTTACAATTACTCCTTCGTTCCTCAGGAGTTATTTCATCTTCGTCTAAAAAAGCTAAACATCTGTTGTTCTCATTTTAGTCTAAAAGTTTCTATGAATACATTATGTCTACTACTACCCATATTTGAGCGAACTCTTTCTCAACTTTTTGTACTACTGAAAGTGTATTGAATCCTCTCGTTTCTTAACTTTCTTTTCTTCTACGGCTTACTGTAGGTGTAACATTAATTGAGTGGTATGTTATTTTTTCCCACAAACGTCTATTACTACAATAATTATGAAAACGTTTTCCTATAACTAGTGTCAATTGAAAAACCTCAAAAAACAAGTTATTTATTTACTTTCTAATTCTGACTCATCGGTAGTTTTTATCTTCAGTCAAATGATAAATTTCAGCAAAGTTATTCCAGAAATATTCATTGGATACGACGTGTAATAAGTGTGAAGTTGGCGCAACCTAGGGAAAGGAAAATGCTTTACTGAGAGGCCTAGAGTGAAACAAACATCAGGTACTCTTTAGTTTTATACTGTTTCCTGTCAAACTTTTAAAATGGATACAGTACTTGGAACTGTTAACCGGAAATCTCAATTTCGATTGATATGATGATTGTGTATAGGTATTCTTTTGTCTGTTAATCACCGCATTAAACCATCAGTTAAATGATACATTTTATTATAACTTTATCTGCCGTTTATATGAAGTGGAAACAAGCCTTGACAGAATAGCATCAGCAATATTAGCTCCTACTGTTGAAAATATTCAGTTGAAGTGCAGTTAGCAACCAGATGCACTTTTTTACAGCAGACAATAAGCCATACCTATTGTATGTTAGCTAGTGGTACCATCTGAATGCCCAAACTTCGGTAGGTGGAACGGGTTTTGAGCACATGATCCATCAGTTAAAAGTTCAACTTATAAATATTTAGTTATCTCCATTTGTTTTATATACCATAAATGTAACCTATTCTTTGCTTTTCTAATGGATTATTCTCGACTGTAAAATATAAACATAAATTCAAAGGAATGACTGAGATGAATCAGCTTGGAATAATTCAGCAATTCAGCCATTATCATATTAATACATCTTCTTTTCATCAACTAGGTGCATGGATTTGTTGATAAAAATCGTGAAAAAATTCGAAGTGAACTACTTGCTCTATTGACAAAGAGTACAAATACTGCTGTGGCAACTATGTTCCGTAATGTTCAATCTCAGCGTACTGGTGTAAGTGGTTCAGGACCAAAATTGAAAACGCCTATGGTTTTAACAACAATGAATAATTCACTTCAACAACTGATGGAAAAAATGAGAATGTAAGTCGTAGGCTTTCTTCTAGCAGGAGGTGGGAAGTTTTGACTTTTTGTTATAAGATTAGTTCATTTTTACTTCCGCTTACTGTAGATAATGATTTACATACAAAGCTGTTTGAAAACTCCAGGTGAAGCAGATTTTCACTCAAATTTAAGATACTTTCAGCAATAAAATATTACCCCGCTATGACAACCATTTAAAAATGTAAGATGCAAATAAGCGATTACATATATTCATATTTGTATCACAGGCTACAGGTTTGTCAATTCTGCTGACTGACCATCCGAATTTTGGCAGATGACAGAATGTTTGAAACTAGAAGTTTCTGGATAGTAATGAAGTGCATATACTAATGAGTTACTCCTTCATATTCACTAAGAAAATACCCCTATTTTATGATCATTTTTAGCAGCAATACTTACATACAAGTAATACTTGTGTTGGAGAATTGCTGAAACCACAGAGATGTAAACATAACTCATATGTTTTCCAAAAGAGCTGTCTAATAAATTATTCACCTTTTTACAGAACTTGTAAGTTAGGTGAACAGTTTTAGTGACCTGAATAATCCTACTATCTAAAATGGAAGTTCTCCAGTCTACTGTTGGTCAATCAAACACTGAATTGATAAGAAGCCATTTAGCTATCTGTCGTTTTGTTGAATGGTCACCACAGAGGAACCAATTTCATGTTATCCGGTTCCGTGGGTTGATTGACTTCTATCAGTCATTTTGCAATGCTATTGCAAAGTTAGAAGACTGACTGTCGTCGTATTCTTTTGAATAATACTAAGTGATTGAAGGTGACTGATATTTAGCCTCGGACCTGAGTTTTGAGCTCAATGACATTTATCAACATGATCAATGATAACGTGTATGACTGCAACACTGGTTCACACAGATTCAGCTCTCAATCAATGTCATGAGTTCCCTCAAGGTTATAGATACACCCTGCTAATGAATGTCAGTGGACGCGAAAGTTAGGTCTAGGACTTCCTGCCGATAGCATTTAACCACTTGACAAGCTTCAATTCAATATTTATCATCTACGAAAGCAGTTGGCGTCACGTTAGTGATGATATCCAGTGGTTTATCCTCATTCTGAAATGCCTCAAAAATAAGCACTTATTAGGTAGAAATTTCTCTTTATATAGTTAAGTGGTAAGTTCAATCTAACAGTGGTTAACTGAGTACCCATTAAAGATAGAAATTTCATTTGAAACAAACTATTAGAATCTCTTAACATGGCTTTAATATAGAGCAGTGATGAATTTCGGTTAAAATGATTTCACAGAAGTTTCAAAAATATTTTCGGTTATCATTTTTAATCTCTCGAATATACTTCTGTCACCTTACATTCGGACATGATAATTTTATTGATAAAATCAGGCTATGTGCTGGAAACATTCGGACCTCTATATATCCTGATTGTTTAACTCTCAAGACGAATAGAAGTGGTTATTCTAAATCGGATTGTTGTTTGTTTTTCCCTTATGTTCCAAGTGGAATATAGGGCTTCACTAGCACGCCTGGTGCGTAATGACCCTAGTCGGCCTTCTCAGTGTATGCCCAATCCATCTCCACTTTCTTCTGCATACTTGTTGAGTAACAGGTTCTTGGTTAGTTCGTTTCCAGAGTCCCTTGTTGCTTATTCTTATTATTCTGGCCATCTGATCTACAGTATCGAGTGAGCGTGGGCGGCAGCTGTTGATGAATGTCTGTAGCTTGTTGGAAGTGCTTTTCATGACGCGCCAAGTTTCTGAACCATACAGCAGCACTGACTTGAAATTGATGTTAAAAATCCTGATCTTGTTCTTTGTGCTGAGTGCAGTAGATCTCCACAGTGATTTCAGATTAATGAACGCCTGCCCTACTTTTCCGATCCTGGTTTTGACATCCTCGTTTGTGCCTGTGCCGCCTGTAGTTGAAACGATGCTGCCTAGGTAAGTGGGTAGGTGAAAGAGACTACTTCCTTTAAGTTTCTTCCGTTGATCGTGATTGGAGCTTGTTGTTGCTGTTGTTGTTGGTTGTGTATCATCATCACCTGTCTTCTCTATATTCACTTGAAGTCCTGTCTTCGCTGCCTCTTCTGTCAACTTGTTAGTTTTTGCCTGTAGATCTTCGAGTTTGTGCGACATTAGACATTAACCACCGGCAAAATCCAAATCTTCTACTGTCTTTTCATCGGTCTGGCCAGCATATGTCCATCTTCCCGCTCCTCATGGTTTATTGTATGATCAAGTCCACCACAACCAGGAATATCATAGGTGATAGTAAGTAACCTTGTTTTACTCGTGTCTTCACTTCAAAGGCGTCATGCCAAACTGAGCAACTATGTTGAATTACTTCTTGTGATGGGAAAGGTCACCTTATTTATTGTTCACTGATAACGAATATCCGAGGAATTATTTAATCTACGGTATGTAAGGACAAGAAAAACATCAGTTAAAGAAGTTGGTTTCAGAAGACCAGAAAATTTGACTAGTTTAGTCTTGAGAAGTGTTAAGCTATACCAAATCAGTATTCTTCTCCCATATACATTATTAAAGTCTATGTTCCACCTTTAAAACGTTTCAAGTCAGACAGATTTCACGTTAAAGTTTTGTTCTGCCTCATGACCACAGGTTTGATCGAACAAACTATTCAAGATTTGATTCACTGCTTGAGTAGTAATAAGCGAATTGGCTCATTTTAGTGTTCTATGCAGAGGCATTGACATTGCCAATTAGGTAAAGAATAGAGACAACTGAATAGGTTGGATGACCATCATATGCTTCTAACTTAGGTTATGCTTTCTAAGCATCTATCGAAAGAAAGAACCAATTTTATAGATGAAAGCCGTCTATGACGGACCTGAATTTGTTGTTTGGGAGTGGAATAACATAGACTTTGATTCTGTGATATACCTTTCATTTGCCTTATAGACCTCCTTGAACTGCGATATTAATCTACTGTCAGCTAATACTTGAACAGAAAAAGCACTTTTGCCTTTTCTCGTCTTTTAACCTAGTTGACACTAATGAATTTAACACCTGTCGGTTCGAATGTTATTATTATCTACTGGAATATAGAAATATTCATGTGTTGTTTACACAACTACTAATCTTGGTGAACTCTCCTGTTTATAGGACTGTAAATATACGCGTCTACACATGAGTCTATGATAGATCTTTAAACTTTTTATTGTTTATTTGCTCAAACATTGACTGATCACATTTCCTCCGTTGATCAATTTGTTCTGTCTACTTAGGAATAAGCCAAGTTTTGTACGTTGTATCAAACCAAATATGAAAAAAGAACCAATGGTATTTGACGATGCCGTTGTTATGGATCAACTGCGTTATGGTGGTGTATTAGAAACTGTTCGAATCAGAAAATCCGGTTTTCCTGTCCGTGTTGACTATAACTATTTTATTGAACGGTAGGTTTTTTAAAAATATTTGTGTACTTTTTCTGTTACAGATTTCAATTATTTAAGTAGGTAGGTGGAGTTAAGCGGTGACGTATTCTCCTTATCTTAAAAAGGCCTTCATATTCAGTAGAACCAAGGAGTAAGTCATCTCTAAGAGAATTTTCGGTTTAGATGAACTCAGTCGACTTACACATACAAGCTATTTTGTAAACCTTTACAAGGAGAGCTGAGGAAAAGTTTCCCCTCACATAGGTAGGCTTCGATATTGAAATGGATTTCAAAGGTACTGTATATTGTCAACTCTTCCTTTATAAAAGCAATTAACGTTCTTATTTTTGACCTTTTATCTGCTTTGCATTGTTTTGAATCGTAACGATCAAAGCATCTGGCTGTTACTTTCAGTTTCATAGAGACCAACCAAACCTCTTGTCAACCACTAATACATAGTCTTTGCAAGTTAAGAACAGCACTTACCTTACCATAAACTCAAAGAAGACTAATACCCCTTGTCTACAATGATAATGTGCCGAGTGATTTTGCAGAGTCATGGGGATACATAATTCTAGTCCTGCTACTAAACTGAATCGTGTTATTTTCAAGTAACTAACAAAATGCGGAAAATGGATTCTTGACAGATGTATATGACATAATATTCCCCACAAAAGTGATCTGGATAGCGTGAACTAAACACTTTCAAGAAATGTCACTTGGTTCATAAAGATGTCTTGTAACAAATCCTTACAAAATGTTTGAATGTAAACGGCTTTGAGGAATGATAAAATTACCCAAGACTCTATGATAAGAAATCTTCACGGGTGGTGTCTGATATGCCTCTAACTTTGGAGGGTATGCTTTATCCACGACATGAACCTCTTTTTGTTTGAAGATCTGAAGTACAATACATCTCCTGGTCAATCTATTTTATGATCGTTTTAAATATTTAATTCCCTTTTCTAGCGAACACTCGTTGAAACCCTACCCAGTTTTCTAGTTTTATGATCATGTTACACTTAGAAGTGTTTATGATAATGAGATATCTTAAAATACTTTCCATGTGTATATATGTAAGTTGGACTTGAAGTTCGTCTGACATAAGTTCACTTGAGTTCCACGCTCTAAAAACCTTTATTTAAAAATGAATGACTGTGAACTTTACTTGTTTTTCTTGACTATGGTTTATCAAAATACTTTCAAAAATAGTCAATAATGAATGATTTGCTTAGTGTATTAATTTCTTCACTTAGTCTTAGGTATCAAAAGGTTCCAGCCTACTTACTTAGACTGTTGAATAAGGTTGTGTAGATTCCTTTAGTTAGTGTAATATTATGGAATCAGTTGAATAAGCCTCATATACAGTGAAATACTTGGCAATTTATTTCACAGAAGATAAAAAGTAATGTCAATTTTGCGTAATAGTTTGCATCACATTCGTTTTCTATAAGTCATATGGTTAGCACAGAAATGTTTTCACAGCGCAAAACATTTCAAGAACAACACTGGAGAGATGAGTAGGTAAGTATTTTCATTAAAATCGTATATGGTCCTACCTTCAATGGAATATTTCACATCAAGATGTAATTGTAAAAGATTGCATTCAAAAGAAGGGGTTTATGAAACATTAACAGAAGTAACTAATAATTGAAATTCTCTTCTTTCTAATTTCTCAAATTCTTGGACTTTGAATAATTAGTTATGCTCCTCTTTTCTTGTCATCTGCCAGTACTTAAAGCTCTAGAGTAAGTGATAATTATTTCCATTTTAGTTGATTTATTAGGTGTATCACCCAGCAAAAAAGTATTATGTCGATGACACATTCACAGTATTGAAATTGGAGCATATACATAATTTCTTTACACATTTAGATTCAGTAGTCAACGTAATCGAATTCACCTATGAATTAGAAAAAGAAGAAGGAGAATTAGCGATGTTCGGTCGTATAATAAAACGAAAACAAAACGAGAGTTTAGACACTGGTGTCTATAGAAAACCTGTACACTCAAATTGTTACTTAAACTTCAAACCGTCTCACCATAAGTCAGCTAAAGTTTGCTTGGTAAAATGTCAAAGTAACAGAGCTAGGAAACGTACAAGTAAAAGAGAGTATCTAAGACACGAAACCAGACAAATTAATGATACCCTACTCATCAACAGTTACCCCTCTAGATTAATTGATAAATGCTTTAGTGACACAGGTTTTAAGAGTAATAACAATAATGTTGATAATAGTAGGGGTAATTCTCTGAAGAAAGAACTCAAAACCTCTACATTATTACCATATAGAGAAAGCACTTCAGAGAAATCACGTAGGATTCTCAATAAAACTGGGATTAAAGTGACATTAAACCTACAAGCTCAATTCGAAATAAACTTTGCAGATTAAAAGATCCCATTGATTCAATTAAGCAGAATAACGTAGTCTAGCAAATCCCTTGCAATGATTGCGAGGTCAAATATATTGTTCAAAGTAGTTGGCCTGGATCAATTAGGCCATCTGAGAGCAAACAAGTAGACAGATGAAGATCGGTAGATCATAGTAAGATAGGGAATTTAGAAAAGAAGGCTTAATCAAGGCAATGCATGCAATTATACACAAGCACGCAGTAGGATGGGATAGGGTGAACATCCTTAAAACTAATATAGTGGAGTGGAGGGAGAGATTGATAACTGGATCTTTGTTTATTTAATCAACAGTTGATGTATGCATGAGTAGTGACTCCTCATCTGTTCCGGATAACTGGAGAATCCTACTACCTATATGACAGCAGGTGTGTGTGTGTGTGTATTTGAGGGAATTAGGGCTGTATAAAGCATGTGTTAGAGTTATGTAGTTATGTTGATATGACAATGGAGAGTAGATTGTATCCTAAACATAATCCAGTAAATACTACTCTTCCACTATGTGATACATCTCTTCAACCAACTTCAATGGGATCATATTCTCCCAAATTTCTCAAGTTTTACTTTTATAATAAATGGTAATTAGTCGATAATTTATAGTCTTAGAAGAAACAGCTAAAATGTATTTGAAATTTTACAAATTATATAGTCAAGTACACTCTTATGTATCTATGACAGAAATTCATTCTTTGTCTATCTGCAGCCAATTAGCAATCAATATTAGATTGCGTTAAGAATAATTAACAATTAAGAATTTCCATATCTACCATTAAAAGTTAGTTGGAATAGAGAATAGTCTTCTCAGTAGATTCTATTCTGTTTGTAAACTTCAAAATTCAGTTTATAACATAGAATTAACCAATTTTAAGGTATATTTGCTTTCAAGAGGAATATAAATTTGAAATTTCAGGTAGAAAAACCAAAATTTTTATGTGTTAAAATGACTCCTCTCATGCGTGTTTGAGTATGGGACTTGAAATTAATCAATAACTTCTATAATAGTTTTCATTATTTGTTGGTATCAACTAGAGAAAAAATGAAATTATGTAATCACTTAGAAACATTTTTTTTTGTTCTATTTCGGGAGTCTTCAGTAGTATGAACTGAAACTAGTGGATAATCGAACTTCAAAACCAATAGACTTTTCAGTGATCACATTAATTCTCAACAACTGAGTAGTAGTCTTAATCTTCACACCTTCTAACGTCTTTGTTTATCATATTTCTTTTTATCTTACCTGATTTTCTTGTCAACTATTCCAATGAATGGGACAAGTATAAATGTTTTCTTGTTGAATTAGTCATTATGAGGTTTTTCTTGATATTGAATATTTCTCAACTATTGATAAATGAGCTGAAAAAATGTGTCAGTTACTTATTGTTATCAGGTTACCTTTTCATATTATATCTTCTTTTCAAAACATAATAAGGTTGGTTATTATATGTTTGAAGGGTATGTTTATGACTAGATTTTGTAATGAGAATATGTCACATAGAAATTGATGTAAACAGCATTTCATAGATGCACACTGTCACAGTTTTGACAAAAATAATATTAACTGAATATATACTTAAGATGACAGTAGGTTTAACTTTAGCACAATCTAGTAGTGTTTCTAAGTATGTCAGACACTGACACTATTGATAGATAGTTCATGCAGTATCAATGTACATAGAGACTATCAAATGTTGTCCAAATGATTTCCTAACTTATTTCCTGAGAATCATGTTCAGTGAGGACTAATTACTGTTGCTTAACACTGATTTTTCATCAGTTCACTCAATTCCCGGACGAATGTAATGCCTAAGTAATGTTTGAATTTGACTCGAACTTCGAATAATAATAATAATAATAACTTGAGGAAAAGTGGTTCCCATCAAAGAGATTGGTGCATATTTCCAATTACCTGAAATGATATGCGTATGTGTGACTTGTTCTGTATATTTCTATGTGGTTTTTTCTCTTAAATTTCCTACAGCTACTCATTTCTTTTAAACCATGAAAAGAGACTACACTTAAAAAAGATTACAGATTCACGTGAAGCAGTAGCATGGATTTTAATGAATATCAATATACCATTCGGTGATCAAACACCAATTCAAAAGTGTGTTGACTACGAATTTGGCAAAACAAAACTATTTCTACGAAATCAATTAGCGGTCAATCTAGAATCTCTTCGTACAATTAAAGAGTTATGCGCTGCTCGAACTATTCAACGAGCTTGGAGACGTCGTGATAATGGCTTGATAGAGAGAGCACGTCGTAATTCAGCAAGAGTTATTCAAGCTTGGTATAGAGGATGTATGACAAGGTGAGTTATATCTACATTATAAACGAAGAAAACCCACTAGGTAGATTGTTTTACATTCTAAATACGCTGTAAATTAATTTTTTTTTGGAAAAAAATAGGCTTACATTTTAATTTGTTAGAGAAGTCTACGAATAAAAACAGTGTGAAACTATATCCCGCATAAATACATCCCTTTAGTACTATTCTATAATTAAATTGAAATGGAAATCTGGTCAGCAATCAGGTCTCGTAGGTTGATTGATAGTTTACCGGCCCACAAACTTAGTGGTTTGAATCCTGCCACGTCTTAAATCTCCGTTCGACTTTCAATCACTACAAGTCTACCAAGCCATGAATATCTCAGATAGTCAAACTAATGTTCTAAAAATCTTTGTATTACAAACAATAACCAACCATGTCCTCTCCTCCTCTGTGATCAATTATTGTCACGTTTGGGCTTTCTATTTTCTATTAGGTCAAAATGTTCAGATTTACAATATTTGTAACTGGCTAATTGAAAACCTGATAACCAGCTGCTACTGTTTCCTATTGTTAGTTTTACAAATACTGTTGATATCTTTCAACTCCGGAGTGATGGCTAAACGTTGGCGTGTCACAATCAGCCACTATGCAATCTTTCATTAAGTTAACCGTAGTAGAATACATGTCTACACTTGCTAAACAACTGAGAAGCCATTGAATCCAGCACCTCCGGTCTCTTTGTAAGTACGTCACTGTCTATCAAAGAATAACTTCGATCAAGGTGTATTCTGTGATGCAAGATGTATGGGTGGAATATCTTGATCCTAGTAATTAAGCTGAAAGTTGATACTGAATAAAGTAGATGGTTTTAAACTAGGCACACATTCAGATGACTATAAATAAGAAAAAAACAAATTGGTGTGAATATTCAGTACTCTTTATTGCCTTAGACAGTATGGTACAATTAAATGATAGATTTATGATAGGTAATGGACGAAATTGTATCACAGCCTTTCCCATCACGTGTATATCACGTGTTACTATGATTCATTGTTTATATTGGGTTGTGTTTAGTTGTTTAAAAGGTATGTGTTTTCTCAGGCCTAACCGTAGCATTTTATTAAACCAAACAACATTTCACTTGCAGTAAACTGTATGATATTTGTCTTCTACATGATTTGAGAAGGAAATAGGATTCGATGGTAGATATTTTAAGAGCAGTCAGTAAATCTAGTACAAAACCGTATTCTTTGTTACCCGAATATATCATGATTAAAATTAACTATTAAAAATGCTCAAATACTTACCAAGAGTACTGTCATGGAGTGCATATATCCATAAGGAACTAATCTGTTCAAGTCAAGGAATACAATCTTGGATTTCGAACACAAAATTTTCTGCTTAGTGTTTACATCACTCACATACCGATCGATAAAATCTACTAATGTTTTATTTGGATTGTGAACGATTATTCATGGCTTTTAAACTTCTGTGTCAGTAAGCCTACGGCTTGTAATATGAAGCAGATGGTCACCGATAAAATATCCATGATATCACAGCTGCTTCATGTAAAATCGATTAATTGCGACAATTTTTGGAGCAGACACAACGACTTACAAATAACTTGACGAAAGTCTTCATTTTTGATTGAAATTAACTCGAATACAATGAAGATTCACGTGGAACTCGATAAGTATTTTGTCACAGATTTCTATCCTTCAACAATTCTCACAATTATTTTGACACAAAGTGTAACGTGTTTGCCACTAAAAATGTCGGATGGATAGATCTTAGCATACCACTCAATGCAAAAAAGGACTCGATTTTCAACAACGCCATTTATGTAAAAGACCGTTTATAATACGTTTCTTTCACGCAGATGTTTCGGTTTTAAGAATTGATAACACCGAGAGCAAATATTGGATTTTGGTAGTATAGATGAATGTCATTATTTCATTGGTTCACGTTAGCCAGGTACAACCTATTTAATACAACCTATTGGTTACAGATTCACCTTGCTGATGAGTGCCAATAATCACAAAACTACCTATATCTAGAGCTTCTTGCCAATCGCCTTCAATCAATTTACATTCATCAAAGTGTACCACGATAGTTAACCTCCTAGCTTGGTTGCTATATTGCAAAATGATGGATAGAATTCGGTCACCACTTAGTACTAGACTTAATGAATTCGGTTGCTCTCCAGTGAACAATCAATCTACCTAATTCAGTCCTACAGGAGATTAGTTATGGCCTGAATATATCATTGGTAATGCTTTTGACTAAAACGCGGGTTCGAATCACATAGAAGAAATTCGTTCTCTTGAGGTTGCAGTTGAGTGCTAACACGTGCGAAACCTATATCCAAAGCTTCCTACAGACTGCCTCTAGCCAACTAACAACCTGGAGTCAAGTTGTTACAAAGTTCTAATAAACCATCTCTTTCACTGAATAGAAATTATTGAATGAATAAGGCAGAACACGTCTTCAGTATAGTAAATTGACGAATCTGTGCAAAATGATTTGTTGCGGAAATAGCAGTTAAGGTTGTAGCACATATCTCTGGTTGAGATGCGGCATCTCGTAGAAATTTGATCGGTACAAGAACGTGAATATTATGGAACCATGAAAAAGACATTGTGTAAGTCAATGGATAGATGACAGCTAAATTCCTAATATTTAATTTTCCAAAAAGACTGTAGGTTTAACTCGGCAGATGAGAGGTAATGAAATCATTAAATGCGTCCATTTATATTACCGGCTACAATATTTGTTCTTGCCTTTTTCAAACCTTTGTTTTTGTTAGAATGATTGGTTCGGTTTTCCTGAATTTGCTTTTCGAAAAAAATGCATCTTTAACAGCTAAATGAAAGCTCCTTGAACAAAAATGTGAAAACTCTTCTTCTCATTCCATTATTATTTCATTAATCGATATAACCATAATATCGAAAACTATATTTGTCGTTATTATCATTCTTATAGTATTATACAACAAATGAGCACACATACCCATACAGGCAAAGAAGCAAACAAACACACACACAGGCAAATAGGTTGATCAATAGTGTTTATTGAAGTTATGATGCTGGTAGAAATTTTGTATCTAAGGTTTAAGTTGAGGAATGCATTTTAGTATCACTTTTCTGATGATGTACTAATTTCTGTGTAGACAATCCTACGGTTTTTGCACACATGTGCAAACATGGTTTTTACAAGGTTTTTATGCATAATAATAATAACAATAATTGATTGTAGCACAAAAACGCCCGCAGACAAACAATCAAATAATCCAGTTCTGAGGTTGATGGAGATTTTATTTATTTTAAGGTAGTATTCCTCATGAACTGAGATTCGTTGATGAACCGTTAGAAGCTTGAGTGCATTGGACAGCTGTTTTGTTCTAGTATGGATTTATTAGCATTACGCAACCACGTTTCAACCAGAAATCTAACTCTGCACCTTAAGATCTCACAGTGAATGCGTTAAACACCATTCCACTAGATTGGAGTTTGACAGTCCACAGTTTACTACTTATGATTTGTGGGGATCTGAAGTGGATGGGAACTGAGGAACTTGATCGATAGTTGACAGATGTTGGAAACTGTGGTCTATTGAACTCTGATCCAGTTAATGAGTGGTTAACGCGTTCACCGTAAAACTTGAAATTCCCGAGTTAGATTCCTGGTGATATCGTGAATGCGTTCTGTTCCGGAGTCCCATACTAGAACTAAACGTCTGCCTAGTGCTCCCAGGTCTTCAGTGGTCTCCACTTTATGTCATTCTTTGATGAATATCACCTTAAAATGAATAAACAATCATAGATTCATATTTAAGTATGTTTGAGGAGAGCGACGGATTAAAATAATGGTCTATATGTATCATGTATTTAAATACATTATTTGTTTTGTTGGATAAAAGGGAGTACTGCTGTTCGGTATGAATCTATTTACGAACTTTGAGTAAATTGACCATCCCACTTATCTATGTTGTTCACATTATCAATACGTTTCGTAAAAGAAGCAGTTTACCTACAATAATATTTAGTGATGGCTAGAAGAGAAGTCGATTAACAGTTGACGATTTGTAAACTAGACATATCAGTTAGACCACTTCCGCTATGCATTTCTGCCAATAAAATGCAATCGTACACTAACGCTAAAACTATCCTACTTCTACGCTTCTCAGAGCTAATGGATATAGATTTTTTCAGCATTAGTGCCCTGTGATTACTAATAACCTAAGTCTTTAATTTCATGAAATTCAGCATAACTGCTTCATGATGCTAACCTAAAACATGTCCACTTTGAAGTCTATATAGTACTGGTCTTGTGGTTAGGGTTAAACCATTCCGGTCAGTCTTCACAATATATACGTTGAAATCTTCAATGGATAAAGTGACCAGTACTCTTATCAACATTGATGTCAACGTTGTGTTCGCTGAGCAAAGCTGAATTCTTTCAATTTAAGTTACTTTGTCTTGCTTGTGTTTAATGCTAAATGTAGGATTTTTTATCCACCTTATTTCCACCTGATTAATAATTGAGTAAACTAAACTTAACAAAAAAGGCGGTGAATTACAAATCTTAGTTTGTAATGTAAAAGATAGTTTTACCTGAATTCATCTTACAAACACTGAGAAATAAAGTTTACCCAAAGAGTACATACTGTAATCCTTCGAAGTAACCTCCTTGGAAATCAGATTTATGAATAGGCGTATTCCTATCCGAGTTCAAAAGCAATAATAAGAAACATTTAATTGCCTGGACACCTATGACCTCGCCAGGGACCGGACCCAAGACCTTCAGGCTCCGTGGTCAACACGAACAGAAGTAGGAAAATATGAACAGTTGGATTTCGATCCTTTGGCTCAGTGTTGACGTCCCGACCGAGAAGTATTTCTAATTATAACTGTAAAATTTCCTATGCATAATGTTGTGTAATCTAATAATTTTATTTTCTACTGCTTTGTGATAAATACATTATCATATCTTCTTTACATTGCTGCTTTAGACGGCTCCACTCTGATGTTGTTGAGTATTTAGCAAACAGAAACAAGGTAAGAACATATTTCTGTAGGTAACTTTTAATGCCATTTCATGCTTTGTGTGAAGTATTCTATGTACATGGTCATTAGAAGATATATTTTGATGATGAAAGGATTACTTTGTCTTGGTTGTGTTGAGTTTTCTGAACTGTATGGTCTAATCGTGAATCTCATTGTATTTCTATGCAACATCATCAGCACTAACTTCAACTACTCTGTATTGTTTTCCAAAAATCAATACTTAACTAACCACTAAATTATATCTGAACTCTATCTACAAAGCAAGAAAATTTCTTTTGAATAAAAACAATATGGTATACTGATGATGAGCACATGTGGCTGATGTATTGACTTACAAACAGTCTGTGTAGCGATTGTGAGTAGGGATGGGTAGCTTAGGCTGGAGAGTTGAAGAAAAACATGAGTAATAAGTACCGATAGACAGTTATTTTAACTTATATGGTAAACTGGAAGTGAAAATTATATGTCAATGAGACCATACGAAAGATATATAAGTCCACTATTCGGCAGCAGAATAGTCAAATGGAGCAATGGGGAAGACACTTCGAAGAACATTTCAGTTAACCCTCAGCTCCTCTTCACCCACCTGTAACCCATTCCCATTCTGAATGGTACATTGAGGTAGGTCTTCTGTTTCTTGGAGAAAATGAAAGGCAGTAGGTAATTTAGGAGGAAGATTACCGGATCCTGAAGTTCTAGTGCTATAGGTATTTAAGGATAGTAGCCGACAATTATCAACTAGACTGACTGGGGTGTTAGTTAGTATATAGAAATGATAGTCACAGTTTTTTTGTGACAACTATAGGTTTTATATCCTGGTCACTACTTTTATCACACATGTTGTAGCTTGTCATAATTTTCTGGTAACTACTATATATACGGACACTTGGGTAATAACCTTCAGATTCCATACCTTGCTATCCGCTCAGTTTCTAGATAAATGGAAAAGGTGACAAGATTATAGAAGGCTTATTGCAACGTGAAATATGCATATACAAAAGACAGGGGTTGATCTACATTTACAGGTCTATCGAGATCTGAATCCTATTGATTTTTCGTCTCTTCAACCAATGCGATATTAACGCGTTGGTTCACATTTTTTTCGCGAAACGTTGGGACCAAAGGATTGGCTGAAAGGGGCTTCGGGAGTTCAGAGCTTCTTGTACTATAATATTATAGTAGGGAGTCCAGTTTGATAGAAATTCTATGTACGTGTACCCAGGATACCTAAGTGAAGCCTGGAAACAGCGAACTTTGGAAAATCAAGTAGGTTTTAGGCCCGGTAACGTATATATCGACAGTATATTTGACTTCCACAAGCACTTGAAACACACGTGCTATCAGTGGCTCTTAATACAGACTGCATTTGCTGACCTGAATACAGCATTTGACTTCATCAATCGAGAAGTTTTTATCATGATGACTAACATCAAATTTATTCCTCCCTGAGTCACTCGGTACAATATATACTCTCTGGTATGCACAATATTAAGCTAAATAGTTCCATTGAAACTTACGGCTACATCGATACCTGATTTTTTCACTTTTGTTACATATTATGAAATTTGTATGAGATGAAGAATTATCTCCAAAATTTTCGATTTTTGCTGACTTTGCAACTACACACAGTCAGTCATATAGTGAGGTATAACAAAGTGGAATTTCTTACAGTTGCATTAAAAAGATGAATTTACTTCAATCGAATATGCACACAACACATCTGATAGATATGAATCAGCACTTACTCTGAATGTCTTAAAGTTCCTGCTACCCTTGAAACTAAAATATGTAATGAATTAAGATAATAGAAACGAAGTCTTGTGACTTTGGGTTTGTCAGTATCCAATTATGAATAAAGCATTTTCTGAAAATAATTTGCCTTTAAAATCAGTGGTATTTTACTATGCTTTTGTTTCAGGAACAATCTATTGGTGCATTACCAGAAGTAAGTCAATTTTAAAAATATGTAATTGCTTCTGACTAACAATAAGCTTTGTACTCCTAAAGCTATTTCGATTGGATTGGGGAAATTTTTAGAATATTTTCCTCTTCTTCCATCTCTGTACCGTAATGTCAAGGGTTTAGATTGTTATGCTATTTAGAGGGTTGGAGGGATAAAAAGATTCCAGAGTGGTAGTAATCACAGATTGATATCAACTAGAGAACCATTAGAAACCTGATAGCATTGGATAGCTAGCTATCCTGTTGTATGATAGGGATTCCAAGCAGCGTGCACCCATGACCCTGCTAGGTGTGAGACCCACGGCTGTCAGATCTCATAGAGAGCATTTTACCTATCAGCCACTGGATTGGAATCCAGACTGTGATGATTACTACCTTGAAACCGGTTTTTATTCCGTAGTTAAAAGGTGATTTACAGTGTTCCCTAGTAGTTAACAAATTGACTCGGAAGTTTATAATTCGTTCAGTTTGTATCTTTAAGCTTATCATCAAATTATTCACAATTCAAACTTCAGAAACATAAACAAATATAGACATATTCTTTGAACTTTGAAGTCTATGTGTTTACGTGTCACTTGAAAATTGCTTTACATCAACTTTTATATTGGCAAATAAAGGTTTAATAATATTGCGTAATCTATTTGAAAACTCTCTTGATTCAACAATTTCTTGAGTGACAAATTCAAAAATTACTGAACTGTAAAATAAAGACAGTTGGGATTTCTCAGTTTACGAATAATTTGCAAATGATTTCGTATCCGGTTTTCAAAATGATCATGGTGTAATAAGTTTGATTGTCTGCTCTGAAGTGGACGTAGTACAAGGATAATCCATCTGTTCATGTGACGCTGGAAGTTCAACACCTCAAAGAAGTATAATCCTATCTTAAACTTTCCTTAATTTGACTTCGTGTATAATGTTTAAGTATTATTTACTGACTACATATGATAATGTGTGTCATAACATATTGCGAAATCTTAAACAAAAGTGGTTAATTTTCCCTCACTATAAGGTAAACGGTCCTTAATATTTAAATTACCCTAAAATGTGATAACTGGTATGATTTAGTATCTCATCAATAATATGGAATCGGAGATGTTTCGACTACAAAAATCGATGTGCAACACACTACGTGAATACTCAAGCTTAACCAATTATGTTGATGTTTGTGGAACCTGCTTAGTTATTAGGAATACCGTTAACATGGAAAATTAGTAGTTGATGCCTTGTTAGATACCTTCAAGTGAGACTATTTTTTCTTCCTTCATTTTCAGCCGTTTGATTCCCAAATGTTTTGGTGTCGTTGTAGCCACAATCTATATTGAAGCCTTGAAAGCTTCATTCATGATAATTTAGACTTATGGACTTGAAGCCTTACTTTTACAAATGGTCATAAAGCACACCGCTAGAAAATGAGATTTGGTGGTTTGTCTAATGGTAATGGGACAGATTATTTTTTACATTCCAGCACCAAGACTAGAAGACTCGATGAATTCAATGGAATCTGTCCATTTTTCGTTACTCTAAAATACTTTAACAGATAGAGGCCAGTAAACAAGCCTTAAGTAAGAAGTGTTTAATTCAGAAAGTAACCAGTTCAGAACAAAAGATATTTGCGTAATGCCATGAACTGTCAGAAGTTGGAAATATGAACCATTGGATTCCAACCTAGTGGCTCAATGGTAACGTGCTGACCATAGAACCGTAACGTTCTGGGCTCTGTTTCTAACGGGGTCATGGGTGCACGCTGCTGAGGAGTCCCGTACTAAGACGAAACAACCGTCTAGTGCTCCTAGGTTTTCAGTGTTTCCGCAAGTGATCTCAGCCCGCGATGAATACGAACTTGAAAGTAACTATCATAATGAAAAGTAATAAAAGTATAGAAGCGTATGACAGCTGTTCCGCCTTATTTTGAGATTCTCAGGTAGTCCTTTATTCGATCCTTCACAAGACCTTTGGTGAACACATTGCTGAGGAATCCCAAACGCGAATAAAACATCTATCCTACGCTCCCAGGTTTTCAGGATGACTATTACATAGTAAAAAGTCAATCCTCACAAAAGCGCTAATTGGATATCATTAATAGTAATTTCCTTTTTACATTTATTTAAACAGGAATTACCAAGAAATGAAAAACCCATAAAACCACTGAGTGAATATGAAATAAAATGTCTAGAAGTCCCAGGAGATTTAGCCTACATTCTTGAGCATCGAAATATTAGTAAGTAAATTTATTATAATGGTCATTGTTATTATTATATGTATCATTCTGACTATCCGAAATAGCCGTGGTTTGGCAGAATAGTATTTATACTGGGTGATGATTGAAGGTAAAATGAAAATTTGGACTGCGGTCGGATTCGAACCAGAGAACACTGGGTTTCCCGCCCGATGCTCTATCAACCGAGCTACGAGGTCCGACTGCTGGCCAGATTTTTATTTCACTTCAACCACCAAGGGTTTTGCCCGAGTACCATGTGAATTCTTGGCGTGCTACTATCGCGTAGAGCATAGGGCTAGGAACCTAATGGATGGGGGTTTGAATCCGGCCGTGGTCCAAATTTTTATTTTACCTTCAATCATCACCCAGTATCAAAACTAGTCTATCAAACCATGACTAGCTCAGACAGTCAAAGTGATGATCAATATGGTACGCCCTTTCTCTGATTCAATTAGATTTGGATTGAGGTGAGGAGTCCTGACTAGACAACCAGCGTGAATATGATAAAGTGATAGTAACGCATCACGAATTCATATAGTATTCGAGCAAAACCCTTGGTGATTAGAGTGAAATCAAAATCTGGTCAGCAGTCGGACCTCGTAGCTCAGTTGATAGAATATCGGGAGGAAAACCGAGGGTTCCCTGGCTCGAATCCAGCCGCAGTCCAAAATTTCATTTTACCTTCAATCATCACGCAGTATTATTATGAGTGTCATAACTGTTGGTGTTTTTACATAAACTTGTGAACTGGTCAAAGTTATCACCCTTTTTCCAATTAAGTTTTACTTTAAGTGCAAGAATTGTGAATAACTTTTTTCTACCAGTAGCTAAGAAGATTATGAATTTTTCGCGCCAGCTGATGGATGTTTTAAATGCTTAGTGGAGAAAAATTTTTAAAGAAATACAACCCTAACCACCGTAGGAGCAATGTTGAGCTTAAACTTAGAGTACTAAGCAAGGGAGGCATGTCACTCAATAAGGGTGTAAAGCTTCACCAACTATTGAGAGCTTGGCAAGTATTGGGCATACCAAGACACCCTTTATCTCATCATGAGATGTTAGTCGAAGTAAGACTGGGTTGGAAGAAGGCTACAGATGTCAAGAAAAAATTATGACACCAGTCCATGAAATCTCGGACTGTTCATCAGATCCGTAAAGACCAGTGTAGTTTATCTGGTTTTCATCCCCCCGATGCTAGGCATCAGTGTTTAAAGACTCTTCCTGAACTGGGTTGAAATCAATCACAACGGTGCAGATTTTTGTTAACCTTCATTCATCCATTTTTTCGTTCCTTTCATGTCTTCTTATCTAATTCAAAGTTTATCTTTTACGATCATCTTTTGTTTTCGTACTTCTGTGAGGTGGAACAACTTGAACTGATGTATTTGTGTAAAAACATCAAAATTATTTTCTCTGTCTTACCAAATAAAAAGAAATAAACTGAGAATTCTTTTTGGTGTTTGACACTATCGGCTGATGAAATCGCCTTTCATCTCATGTACAGCGTCAACATGTTTATATAAGGATCTAAAAGTTACTTTATCTTACATAACTACGGGTATAATACACTTATCTTTGAAATCATCAGTTGTAACTTCAAGTTTCAGTTGATATACTGATATTCATTGATACACGAATATATCAATCTTTTGTTTCCTTTATGTAGAACAAAACTTTTATTCTGTATTCAGATAGTAACAGGTAATATATGTTATCGGAATCTAGGTCGACAAATCAGTCTATCATTCAATAGCAAAACCGTAAATTTATTTTTTTAATTGTTACTTTTTTCAAAACCATCATTGTAGATTGTTAAGAATGTGACTTATAATTTCATTTCTTTTCTTTAAAAACAAAAACAAAATTAGGTCAGGAATCTTGGTTGCGCAATCATAAAGTGGTTAAACCTTCAAGTAGTATTCGTCGTTTTACACCACACTATGTTTCATCTTCTTGGCATCGGTATGGTAGACCATTATGGCGTGCTGCACCTATTTCACATTTGTTACAAGCATCTGGTTCATCGGTAATAATTTTTTCGATTTTGTTCACTAACGTACATTTTAACCGATTACAACATTTCATTGTTATACGACCCTGCTTTTCAGCATGATGCATTTTCTCTGGTTATACTTGATGGGGTGGGAGTGAATTATCACATATTTACGGCAGCATAACTATACAGAAACCAGTTTTCAAGTACAATGCTTTAGTCTAACGTCTTCATGTGATAAATCTGATGGATATTAGCCGTTGTATCTTAAGGCATCGGAAACCACTGAATATCATAAAAACAGGTATTTTTTATCCTTGACTTATCATGCAACGTGTTCAAAGTAGTGCATTTGCATTTCTCAAATTGCAATAATGGAGATTTATGTCTCAGAATAATGCCAATTGTCTGACAGCTTGTGAAGCGTGGGACATAATCCCATACATTTCATTCTTGGACTAAATGACTTCATTAAAATATAGTTTACTTAATGGTGGACTGAATTGATCGATATCTTCTGGCATATGGGCTCATTAAATGGATGTCCCAATTTTCATTATGACTTCGTTCACTTTGTGGCAACTAACAGTGGGATCCAAGATGCGTATTTCATGACTAAGTAGTCATCTAGATGATGCACTAAAGTTTAAAGCAAAACTTGCTGGGTTTAAATCTCAGAGAGGGCATAATCACACCCTAGGATTTATGTAAGCCCAGCCTACTGGTTCCCTCAAAGGTGAAACTAGCATCGTGGATACCAACGGTGGTCGAAACCTATTGAGCAACCTTGTGCATATTTATGCAGCAGGCAACAAAGTACACTTATTATGAGGGCTAGTGATACTACCTGCCTGCCGAAACCTCAGTTGTTGGAGTGGGGTTCAGACCTACGACCAATCAGTTGATAACTATGCGCCTAGGCGAATGAGCCATATCTTCAATGGTTGTCACCATGAGGAAAATTACATGAGAATGAAAACTGACGCATCCATACAAGCAGCCCGTATGCCAATAGAGATTGATCAATTCGGTCTGGCATAATAATCAACAAGAAATTAAAAGTAGGAATAAATAAAGACTTGAATAACATGCGTTCCATGTCACGAGCAGTACACAATAGGCAATAAATACTAGTCTGAAAAGATATATATATATATATATATATATATATATATATATATATATATATATACTATCATTGTGCAGCTTGAAGTGTATACCGAGAACTATCACATCTTAATGTCACGTTCTAATTTGCTATTCGGTTATCCTCTTAAAGGCATGCACGCAAGCTGGTTAGTATTGTTAGTTGTTAAAAATGACGTTTCACCAAGTAAGAAAGCACCACCAAAGGAGGCTTATTTTAATTGTCCCCTGATCAACTAAATAAAATATAAGACAATTTTGTTATTTGTCTAAATACAAAAATAATTAACCTATTAGAGATAATGTTAATTTTACAGATAAGAACACTTGCAACGCATTTGATACTGGAAGATATAAGCAGGGATTATTCATCTAAGTGGATTGATTTATCTAAAAACAAATAAATGGAAAAATTTACATGAAACCTCTTACAGAAGTGGATCATTTCAAGTTAACCAACATAACAACAGAGAAGAAAAAGAAGGAGAAAAACAATAGCATGAGAGTAAACAAACTGAAGTGTGAAGGAAAACATAACAATTCAATGAAGTTTACTAGAAATGTTCAAAATTTTGGAGATAATAACGAATGTATACGTTTGCATCATTCTTATCAATCTCCAGCCATTTCAGCAAGATTCTCCAACCATTGATGCCTAACATCAGGGGATTCAAAGCGGGTAGCTTGAATTGGTCTTTATGGCTCGGGCAAAGAGTCAGGGACTTCATGAACTGGTGCTATGTCTTGTTTCGGCTACTTGTGGTTTTCTTCCAGTAAAGCTCTACTTCGATGCACATTGCAATTCCACCTTATCTGAAATTTCACCTGATAATACTTCCTTCTGAAGTCAGATCCTCAGTTTTGCATACACTGGATGATTTTCAACATTAGTTGCCTAGATATGTCAAGCAGCTCAAAAACTATTGCTTAGAAACCAACTGTTCTTTATTTTTTACTTCTGTTAACCTGTACTAGAGCTAACTGTAAAAACATCATCAGTGAAGATACGTTGTCACTATGATGCTTAACTGAGCACATTATTACTCATATTTACTCTCCAAATCGGTTGGGAATCGATGTAAATTGCTTTTGAAATTAACATTTACTCTACAGTATTTAAATCTTTCTTTCAACAACTTCTGAATAGGCACAACTTGGTTACCGTGTTGCACCACGTGAACGTCCTATATTCTTAAGTAGACCAAATGAAAAACTGACTGCTGCTTGCATAGCTGCTTCAAAATTAGTAAGTAGTTGCTGAAATTGGTTGAAAATTCCTCTGTTTCAGTTTAATAATTATCATCACATTTTTTTCATTCTAATGTTTTGTTCTATCCAATTCACGTTCACATGACCGATCAGTCCCGCGAAACATAATATTTCATCATGATTAAATCCGAAATTTATACTGCTCAGATTGATAATTCTGTCCTTATAAGATTCACATCTTTTGGTATTTTACCTTTTTTCAGGTGAACATCAAAATATTATACTGCTTTCAAATTATACCATCATCATTAATGTTAACAGAGGACTAGGTATTGCTGCGTAGTGGTGCAAGTTGCCATACCTCATATCAGCACAACAATTAACAAAACAATAAGATGAAAAATGAAGAAAGAAAAATAATAATCGGCCATAAGCAGTAGAAAGCAGTAAAAGGGAGGGAGGAGGAATGAGAGCATACTAAATTTAGTATAGCAAATAAAATAATATATGGATACATCTGCGCCACTGACATCGATTCTTATTCATATCACCCAGAGTCTTCAGCCACTGGTTTTTTTGTCACATGGACCCTAACCGGCTGATCTATATCTCTCAACATGGCTCATTTCAATAGTCAGGGATTTCATGCAATGATATCATGTTTTAGTCTGGCTGCTCAGAGCCTTTTTCCAACCTGAACTTTAGGCACCATTATCCGACACGGCAAATAGTGACTACGCTTGCGTAACACATGTCCCAGCCATCTCAGGCGATCGAAATTCACAACCATATCAACTGACTTTCTTATTCTACTTAAAACTCTACACCTAACTTTTGTTTTCTTACTTGATGATACCACGACACATGGACTGTGCTAAAAAGGCAACGGTTGTCAATAACCTGAAGCCTTATCATATCCTCTACCTTCAGTGGCCACATATCACAGCCGTACAGTAGAACACAGCGAACCGTAGCACATTAATTTCGAACCGTAACAGATAATCAAATTATATCAAAGACTTGGGAATCTTCATACACAGAATAAACTGAATTTGATACAATACAATATTATTACGATCTGCAATAATTCTTCAGTAATCATATGCATGCAGTAAAATTGCAGACTCTGAAAACGCATAGGTATTTCAGTATGAATGTGTGATAGCGAAACTTTCATTTAATGATATCATAGTGCAGCATAATAACCAAGTACAGCGTGGTATACGTCGCAGTAAGCTATATCTATTGCATTATAAGTGTTCTTATTATTCAACTGCTTAAGTCATGATAGATGTGGGGAAGTTCGTACTTCTAACTCACTATATGAAGATCAGGTAGCGATAAAATATTGTTACAGCACAGTGTCAAATAGTGTTTTAATTATTTGAAAATTACCAGCCATAGTGTGTGTAGACTTTTAGTTAATTTACATAGCATTTAGATATGGGTTTTTGAACTGAGTTTTAAGTACTTTTCCAGAGGTTCATACTGCCTTGAATTTATACATATGCGTAAATCTAATCACATTCATGGTTTCACGTGGTTTTGGACATACCTTATAGATGATACTCAGGGAATTCAAACATCAGAACCATGACATCCTCCTGACTACTTTCGCATGTTCGACATATGCAAATTAAAATGTTATTGCTATTAGCCGTGTTTTGTTAATTGATTCAGACTGTTCTTTTGAAAGAGATGGTTGGAAAGGATTACAATTTTCCTCCCAAATCGCCTAACGATAATATAGAAGTTGTATTAAGAGTGTAAAACAGTTACTGACTTAAAGATACTGTTGAGTTTTATCAGACAGTCTGGATCTAACTTTTTGCTATCTGATATGATCTATCAGAATCTCATCTTCATCACTTCAGGGAATTGAATCGCATTTAGTGTGTAAAAGCCTTACTGTTCTGTATCACGTTTAGGGAAATAGAGAGCAACTAGGGTATTATCACCACGACAGACCATTGCTGGTTCATATTAAACAGACTGATTCATTACCATATTATAAACAAGACTCTGTATTATTGTACTAAAAATCACACTGGTCAAATCGTGTCATCTATCCACGCAATTGACTTGATTGACTAGCTGGTGCATGCTACTTTCAACTCTCGATCAGATAGTGAACAATTAATACAAGATAATTCAAAAAAAACTTTCTTTTCGACAAAACATTCGCAAAAGCTGTACAACCGTAATTGTAGTTACAACAAAATAAATATGTCCATCCACGGCTAACGAGTTAATCAAGGTCATCAAAAAGGCCAGTAAAATCACAAGGTTAAATCAGGGTCATCGAAAAATGCGTATAAGATTATAGGAAATAAACCGAAAAGTGAATGAGCTATCTGAGGGAGATTACGACCAAGGGGAAATCAAAGATTGGATGTATCTTTTTCAAACGAACAGATCAGGTTTGTACCACTGGATTCTCAAAACCTCTGTCGTGTTGAGGTGGTGAGTGCGTGGTCCCTTCAAAATGTTCAAATTTTTTTCTGTATTATCCTTACAAACTCTTCTAATTCGCGTCCACAATAAAAAAATCAGATTTTTTTTCCTGACTAATGGAACCTAACATTGAAAGTGAATATAATGACTTTTCCAGATTTCCATTCCGTAGATCGATCTCCCTCGCGAACCACTTTGTGATTTGATTGACCTTTTTTGATTATACTGTTTTGACCCATTAGCCAATGATGAGCAAACTGCCTTATTATGCAACTGGTCATTTAGTATTCACATATAAATACAACTAATTGTTTAGATAATACTTGGTAATAAACATTAGTTCTCCAATATTTTCAATAGACTAATATACATTTGTATATTTCTTTTAACTTTATAGATTTTGAGACTGTTGTTTTTATCAGACATATCGCTGTATGAACAATTTTTAGTTGGCAGTTATTTATATCAACTGGTTAGTTGCGTTTATCTATCTTGTTGATTATTTCTTTATATATATATATATATATATATATATATATATACTTTGTAGACTTGAATTACTCAGAATATCGATCTAGCAATTACCTTGAATTAATTCGCTCCACTGCATGCAAACTGCTATGAGCTAGTTTACATCATTATCATTTATGCATAAGTAAAATGTTAAACAAGATTATTAATTATGTAGGTCAACAGAATTTAGTGATGTGCATAAAATCAACTATAAGAGAAATGATTATTCTGTAGTTTATTGACTTTGGTGACTGTAATACAGCTCTGATCACCGAATGAAGTCAGTTGTTGAAACGTTGAAAACTTGAGAGAATTCAATGAATGTCTAATATTCCTTTGATCTCTCAAGTAGTTAGTGTTTTTCATTTTCTGCCATAAGTGAAGCCAGGTTATAAAGACCTCGAAGGTGTTATGTTTCTATTAATCCATGTGGACTTTAGTCAGTTTGTTCACGGTAATCAGCATCGGATAACTGTGGGGAGATTTTATGCTTCCCACAAGGTTTGAGCCCGAATGATGACTACCACTCTGATATGGTGTGAGGCCTTACACATTATAATGCCCCAATGATTTATGCTACTGGGACGCTTGTTTCATTGCAGTCCTACCATATCAGAAAAGTCTGTTGGTTAGTGGTTTGACAGAAACCAGTTACTGTTATTGTAGAAATTTTCATGCTATGATGGGGGTCTTGAGTGAAGACGCACTGCTGGCTGGATGAGTGTGTGACAACAGTAAGACGTTTTCTTTGGGCGACTAGTAGTGCTGCCCTCCCTATGGGAAGAAACGGTTAGAAACGATTAGCCCAAAAAATTACCACTCTCCTTTCTATTTTGTGGCCTTCTGGTGGCGGTAACGTCTTATAGTTAGATGCAAAACAATCAAAATTGGTCTTGGAACTTTCAAATCGACTGTGTATAATTCGCTTAAAGCAGATATCCCTTGAACTCTCACCTCTCATATCCCTTCAGACTATTGTCAATCTTCAACGTTTTTGCCTTCTAATCTTTTTTCACGTGTCTTAATCAACATTTCTACGTCCTCGTTTATTTCTTTTAGCTCAACAACTGTTGATAACGATTCACTTTTAACATACAAACAGGATGAAACTCTCGTCTCTGTTTCTCCTGCTAGCCACTACCGAACAAATTACAATATATCAAGTTGTTATTCATCGAAGACTGACATCAGTTGGAGGAACAAAGAAAACATGGGAGCACTGGACAGCTGTTTCGTCCTAGTATGGTCCTGAAGGTCGCGGGTTCGATCCCTGCTGGTGGGGTCGTGGGTGCGCACTGCTGAGGAGTCCCATACTAGGACGAAACAGCTGTCCAGTGCTCCCAGGTTTCCTTTGTTCCCCCAACTGATGTCAGTCTTCGATGAATAACGACTTGAAATATTTCCAAATCTCCACAACCCCCTCAAAATTACAATATAATTTTATGATTTTTCATTCATTCACCACATAATCCTGGTTGAATACAGCTCTGTAAAACAGATATTCTACTCACAGTTTCTCACAGCCAACTTTAGAGTATATTATTTTTCTGCACAAAATAAAAAACACTGATAAAAGAAACCATGTGAATGTAATTTTTAAGTAGTTGCAGAAAATGCTTTTATAGTTTTTACACTAACAGCATATGATAACTATTCACTGAAGATAAAAAAATGAGTATGTAATCCATTTTTAATTTATGATAACAATGGAAAAAAAAAGGTTGCTTTGAAAGCTTAGGAAAAAACGTAACAAAAATAGGCTAGTTTCTAAAATAGTAATCTGTACTGAAAAAAAGTAAAAAAGTAATAGTTATTTTTCATCAGATGACCCATCAAACTGAGTGCACTATGCTGATATATATATATATATATATATATATATATATATATATATCATTACATAATTCCATCTAGATAAAATTTTTTTCATACACAAGATATGGTGTAATATGAAACACTATGAAGCACAGATGTAGTTTAAGTGATAAAATGTAAACATTGTAAATTAATAAGTCACCTTTTAAGATGCTTTTGTACCTTATATGAAGACGTTTTGTAGCAGGTTTATGGATAGATTGAGATGTTTTCATCACTGAAACATTCCACTTACACACGGAGCTGAATTTCGTTCTTCAAGTGCTCGAAATAGAATCTAAATCGGAGTTCTGAATATATATACATATATTCTCTAGTTTTTGTTCGTTTCATACGAAACGTAGTGGCTGACAATAAGACTGTATGATGATAAACAGTGTTATATATTATCATCTGAAATTATGACAGTAATCAACATGATTTCGTCCTAAAGTTCTGCATTTCGCTTTGTTCAATTATTTATGAATATTAGAAACGTTGTTATGAGATATCAGTAATATGTCTGCCGTATTATTGCATACACTATTTCACATCTAGTTTTAACTGATTTTAAACCATTTAGGCTCTTTGTCAAAAATCGCTTCACAAGGAATACCTAATTCAGTTGTTGAGTATGACATTGAATTGGCCTGATTCAGCCGGTGATTTAATTACTTCAGATGCTGAGGATGAACCAAGTGAATTTGATCCAGAGACTAGAAGGTCAACATATATCTCATCAAGAAAAAATGGTCCACTAATTGTTAAATCACCCATTTCACAATCTGATATCCTACGACGCGCTTACCGACGACTTTGGATGCATATTGCTGGAATGCTTACTTGTGGCCAGTTATCACAGACACTTACACCAACTATTGTCCGGTATGATCCTTTTTAAGAGTTATATTCAAACTTTATTCAGCTTCTAAATACACTAAAATTATTTCTGTCTTTATGTTGACTTGTTTTTCTCCAGACTGATCGACTATTTTGTCGCAGGACATTCCCAGACAATGGTACTTCTAATGAGTGATATCCTCTTCTTTACAAGCAGTCTTATATCTAAATGAATTTTCTCGTGCATGGAGATTATTTGTGTAGAATAAGGTAGAAAAAAGTAATTATGAACACAACAATTAAAAAATACAAAACATGAACTTTACTTCTACGTTTTATCCTCATAGCAATGAAACATAAAGAAGGAATAAGGTTATTTTGATCAAGGTAATCTGTTATGGTAATTACGTATTATATCTTTCCGGTTGAGTGATTTCATTCTGAGTCATTTGCCTGATTATTGGTGACGACCGATGTTTTCTTAACGTAAGATACTACTTTTACGCATATCAATTCACTAATTCGTAGCGTGCCAATCTTTCCGAATTCTTGCTAACATTGGTTGTTCCCATTTCATTCAGTATTAGTAAATGAATTGGCTCTTAGGTGGTTACTTATCAGTTCTCAATCTGTCTTTCTTCCACTGGATCTTTTTTCAAACAATGAAGCTAGAGTTTTTAAGCATTCACTCCTGGTAACAAGGTATTTGTGAAGTTGCTGAAGGAAATGCTTCAGTTAATTTCAATGCATGACTGAACAAAGATAATCGCTTGACATATTGAATCTAGCAAAAGTTAAACTGCAGTGTGTTTTCGGACTATGGATATTGATAATTTCCTTGTAGATACTGTTTTATTTACAACTATGCGATAACTTTCATCTCGGTCTGTAATGAAAACTTTATGACTTAAGACAGTTATCCGAGTATTGTTGCTTTATATAAGTGTCATTGGATAAATATCTTGTTGTAGAAACGCTGTTTATTTCTGATACATCTCATGAACGTACTTGACATATACTCAGTCAACTTTACATCAGTAATGCCCTATGATCCATCTCAACAAATTCATTTCCCTCTTTCATAGTCCACATCAGATATTGGTAGCCTTCAGAAGTTATGTCATATATTAGTACACTTTCTCTTAGGCTTTTCCAATCTTTTGGTGAATCAGTCAGTCATTATGACAAATTAGAGTGTAAAGTGACCAAGTATAAATAATCCATTTTCTAGTTATTTTATTCAATCCAGGTACTTTGACTGGTCATTACTTGATATTTTTTCAAAATAGATCCTATCAAAACCAAGAAATGAAAGCTAAACATGTTACAAAGTCTAATTTCTTATCAATAATTTGTCTCTTTAACTTCACTGTTTTCTCTAAAAATATATTAAATACAAACTTATTTCTTCGTATAGTTTTATAAGAGAACATGCACCTCCAAGATCAGCTCAACTGTGTGAAGATCTTGTTGTACTAGAGCCTTCAATGCTTCGTTTGTATCCGCCTTCTGTGTTAGAATGGCGTATCAATTACACTGGAACTCATATGGGCATTAACTTAACATTTCCAGATGGTAAGCCAAAGAGTTTTTTTATAATACATTAAATCCAAAACCTGTGTTAGCATAATATTGTTCTATCCTGTTTCTGTATGTCCATTGTATGTCTATTATTAGCCACCTTATATGAATGTGAATAGCCCATCACCTCCATGTTAGATTGTTCGTTTGATATAGCATACAATGATACAGTATTATTTAGTTAGTGGAATTTCGAGCAGAAATTATTGTTCATATCAAAACAATCGTGACTTTCAAACTTCAATTATACAGTCCAGCATTTCTTTACTCTTTTATTTTAATAGCAGCAAAGTGTTCTCTAAATATCTGCAATATGTGATGAAACATTCCTCCTATATGTACCAAGTGTTGATTCAGTGAACAAAGATTCTGTAATCAGTCTTTCTCTCCAACCAGCTATATTAGATTTTAGAACTATAACTTCTACCTTACCCTGTAGTATGATTGTGTCAGTGCATGCAGAGCGATGAATTATCTTAAAAAGGCTTATGATTGTGTTTTGCTAAATTTTTGTCCTCCGCTATTCTGACTAACTCCGATGAAATTCTTTGACCTGTATCCTAGACTTTACAATCATTACATGGTATTTGATAGATTAAATCATTTTGCCTAATTTCATCCACTTGATTAGGCAGCCTACAAAGATTACCTCTGAATGAGTCTGTAGATTGAAATGCCACCCTAATTCCAGTATTGTTAAGAAGCTTAGGTAAAACGTTCGGTAAGCCTTCTTTGAATGGCAGTACTATAGAAGATTGTTGCCCCTTTTAGGTATATTACAGTTACTAATAATATTGTCACTCCCTCTTTTATTATTACTTATAAACCTTTTGGTAAATTCTGGAGGACATTTATACAGTAGTAGTGTTCGTTTAATGTTTCAGTTCCATATTTATGTGTAATGATTTATTAGTCAAACGTCCAGCCCGATTCCTCAGACATTTTATCATGCCTAACTTGACAGATATAGGGTGGGATGACGTGATGCTATATGAAATTAACAATCTAGTATAAAATTATACTCTTCCACAGTGCCTAAGTTTTAATCTTACGTTAGCCCATCGTTACTTAAAATTGTCGAAAGCTGGAAAATAAAAATATAAGATACAAAGTACACTCATCTCAGACAGAAACAATAAGGGTCTGATTAGAGTGAGCGAATCTCCTACATTGCACAACATAATGTTAGATATTGCCGATCAGTGAGGCAGAGTTTGAATAATGGTTTTATGAGCCGACTGGGGACATCACGCGCCAGGGCCTCGAGTGGAATCCCCATGGGAAGCGACGAGTTGGACGTCCGAGGGTGACATGGAGGAGGTCGTGCGAGCAGGAAATGAGAGCTTGTGGGCTGTCGTGGAACCAGCTTCAAAAGATCTCAGAAAACAGAGGTCACTGGAGACGTGCTACTGAAGCCCTATGTTCCACTAGGAACCCAAGGGACTAATAATAATAATATATTACATATATATATATGACGTAACTCATTCTACTTGTGACAAACCAGAAAACAAGAAAATATTATTGCCCAAAATATTTTAATCAAAGCTGACTATGTGCGTCATGAAAACCAAATTATTTCATCTAGATGGATAAGTAATGGTTCAAAACTGTTCATTGAGATTACCATAATGATACTGATATCCATATATTGAAATGCAGACTAACTAAAATCCCCCACAACAGAGTTCAGCCTACAAATACAAAAGTGGACATCCATAAAAGATTTGTTGATGAGTATTCAGCAAAGGCTAACTTTAACAACTTGTAACTCCTGTGTTCTTTAGCTCCCTAAGGAGATAATTTCAAGTAGACATTTTATCTGTTTAAATGTCATTAAAAACTCTAATATTTAAGTAAGTGATTTAGATGTTCATAACAGTAGTAGGAAGCAAGTCAAAATAAAGTCAAAAATAAAGCTCACACGAACGTAACCAATTTCCTCAATCTACTTTTAGAGAAAACTCTTTAACTTTATTTGAACTAATTGTCAAAAACGTTTCTGTAACGCGTGAAAATGTAGTCCCCTGACTGATTACTATAATTAAGAAAGTTTCATAGTTAACAAATTTCTAATCAAAGTGCAGTTTTCTCTTATGATAGACACCATAGAATGTAGTATGATTCCTGTAATGAAAATGTTCTGATCATATTACCGAATTCTACCAAGGTCTAAAAAACAGACCCAGTATTTATGAGCATATAACTATCCCTAGTTTTGTTTGTACCGAGCTTCCATGACATTGTGAGAATACATAATTCCCTATAGATTGAATGCATTTCGGATGCATAAGATGAGTTTCATTGGAAGCTAGCCTTTGATTTAAATAAATCCTTTTTCAGATCAATGCTGAGATCATCACATTACCAAAATACCTCTGCTTGAGCATACATGCATATGCATTACAATCACTGCAACTGATGTACAAGTAAAACATTTCTTCATCTTCAATTTGAAGAACACAATATCAGGTCTCTATTTAGGAAAAGAGTGAACAGTTATTTGTCCGAGCGTTGAGTGATTTTCTCTCCGATGCAAGTTGATGGCATATTCATAATACCGGAGAATTAACAGCAAAAGTAGTTGGACACTTGTTACAGAGTGGTTGAGAAAACCATTGCGTTTCTCTGAGGTTATTCAATGTAATTACTGCACGCAGTAATATCCAGCTTGACTTCGATTACGATGAGGAGTAAAAGGAATCTCGACTTTAATTGGTGTAGGAGTAAACTGGTGAATGGGAAAATCGAAGCAGATAGGAAAAGCATTATAACGATTCCACAGTTGGCAACCATTTAAAGCTTATTTAGGTTATTGAGTCCGAAAATGTCAATCAAAACGGAAGCTCCAATGTCAGTGCTCTGTTGAGCAGTCTAGCTAGGTCATAGCTATGTCTTTGTTACCCTCAAACCTAATTGAAGATAGTGGAAAACTGGTAATGGTCTATCAAATGACAGAAGTTGGTAAGAATGTTGCGGACCCAAAATGAGACAAAGAAGCGGTACCTGACAGTTTGACCTTCAGAAATATAGTTGAAATATATACAGATTTAGCTGACGGTTAGACGGTTTAGACGGTTTTTAAGACTAAACCAAAATGCAGTATCATACATAAAGTCATTTTTAGTTGGTCTATCATTTGAAGAGAAATGCAAGTTACTTGTATGATGTAACCGCCCGAATAGATAAGTGCTATCGTCTCTGACTGACTTAGTGGATAAGGAGGGTTTGAATCTGGCATAAGTTCCCCTGAGGTTGCATACATGTCTTGCTAACGTCTGCCAACGAACACTAAACCTAGGTAAAGAAAGGTTTCCTGAAGATAACCTCAACACCCTTGACATGACCCGACCATATATTTGATCTTTCTATAAAAACCTGATGCAGTTAAATAGTGTATACAATAAAGTCTTGGAACCAGAGTGGATATCGAAATCCGTGTTGAGTGACGGATCGTTTTATGTATGGAATTCATAAAATGTAGAGCGATAATTTTAGTTGATCTTCTAGTATGATTGTATGGAATAAGGTTGCTGGATAAAGTAGTCATTTGAAGTTCACTGATGTTTAATTTAGTTATCCAAAAATAATAACTATCCAAATTTCTTTATACTTTCGGAAAACATAACATAATTATGCTTATCTTCCGTTCTTTGCTTATGAGGTTGATTTATGCTCTCCCATGGAAGCTTATGAGCATTAAAGAGGGAGTTTGTGAGTGGTTAATAGTTCTTGGAAAGTCACATACAACTGCTGGTTTACTTCAGATATTTCATTTTCGTCAGAATATGAGATGTCCATTTACGGTTATTTTTAAAACTTAAAACTCTTCATAAATAATCAATCTACCTTAATAGTATAAATCAACTCGTGGATGGTTAAAATAAGTTTTTTTTTGATAACTATCTACTTCATATCTCTAAAACAGAAATACAATACTTTCTATTACAGGTATACTGTCGATTTTTCACTTAGGCAGTTTCACACGTGCTGAAACAGTCGCTGGTACGGCTTTAGCATTTAGGTAAGTGCCTAATTTTATTGATTCATTCGTTACTTTTTCATGTATTTGTCTACACTGATAAATGTGAACATCGCTACAAGAATAAAGTGATATTATTGTATTTCTTTTGTTTATTAACTATATCCACCCTTAGATAACAATAGTTAATAAAGGCAAAAATATATGATTATATAATTAAAATGCATGTCAATTTAAGCAGGTACATATTTTTGTTAAACTTTTATCACAATCAAACTTTAAATAGCATTATTTCAACACGGAATATATATAATTGCATGAAAGTGTGAATACAATTTCAGCATCCCTTCCTAGAGGTAGTCATAGCATTTCCCGTATGATTAATACTTTAAGGGTACTCAGAACATCAGCTTGATGTTCTATAGTTATGCATCTGATAATCTTACTTACAAAAAAGCATCCCTTCAGTACAAATCAAGATGACAAATTTGAACAACTACTCCATATGAGTCTTCAAATAACCTAAACGTTTAAATGTGCCCTATGCCTAATTTGATTTTTATGATAATTGTAGGTATGCACATAGCAATAGGAAGAATTAATGACTCAATAAGACTGTACATCTTCATTTTACATCCTAATATGGCCAATAAAACACTTTTACTGTCCTAAAATTTCTTTCGTTGAAATTGTTAATGATTAAATAGTAGTGTAGCAACAAAACACTGTCTCAGGTTCTCATCCATAGTTTAAATATTTACTCGTGTATCACTATGAATCCAAATAGATCGAACGAACTGACGGCTTTTCGTTGAAAGTTTTCTGATGAATAGATAGCTCGTAATTCTTTTTTCATGCTTGTTCAACACTTTTCCAGTTGACTCGTAATTTACGATTACTTAATTGATTCCAGTTTCTTAATAGTCACTGAATGTTTACCCTTCAACTTCAAGTGAACAAGAAGTTAGCACATACTAACTTCTGATTAGAATAGTCTTTCGATTGCTACTTGTTCCACTCAAAATTCATTATAGCTAGGCAATGGTAAAAGTGTAAGGACGAATAAAATTTCGCAGGGTTTCAGTAAGTGAATCTTACTGAAGGGTGAACACTACCTTCTTTCAGCCTCATTTATGATCTGTAATACGGATAGTTGTCCTGGAACAAAGTGAATGAAAACGATCTTGAATCTGTATTTCTTTCACATTTCATACTTATTCTAATAAATCTTTTGTATAATATCTAAATCTTTTTTCTACTTTTATACAAAACGCTAGAGCATATTCAAAGTGTATCTTTGAAGGTTGGACGATAAGCATACATCATCCATCTAAGATACTAGATGTGCCTGGGTACTTTTATGTTTTGGATATATTTAGTCAACAAGAACTGCCTGAAGAATGGTCACATTTGAATAATGTACTACTTCATCAAGTTCTACCCACTTATATGAAACCTAATGAAACTAAAATATCATTGAATCATGATCATTACAACAGGTATTTTAAAATTCTCATTTTATTTCATTTTCAGTTCATGTACATAGATAGATATATGATAATGGTGAACTCCTTTTACATTTTATTTCATCTGAATTGTGTAATGTGATTTGTACAACAGATTTCGAACAGTCTGATCACAAACTTGCTTGTTTGAGATATTTACATGGAAGATAAACGTATATTTGTAAGAGTAAGAAACTGAAAAAAAAGAGGTCAAGTGAGAAAACTAAATCGAAGACAAGAATAACAATGAAAATTAAGATAAACATAGATAATAGTGCGTTGACCTTAGCTTTCAAACTAAATACATCAAGAAAGATTTATTGTGATTTCAAGCTGTTTATGAGAATAGAAAAATGACTTTCTGATTACTAAGGCTTCAATAAAGTTTAGGTTCCTTGTTAATCAGAATGATAACAGACATTACCAAGTGTTTGAGAAGAAAAACATTTTGAAAAGTCCTCAGTGCTGGTAACAAACATTGAAACTCTTCAACTGCGAAACTTGTTATTAAAACCGGTTATTAAATAAGTGTTTGTACACTTTTGAAACCCATTTACAGAACATGTTAAATGCATATACTTAAATAACTTAAGGCTTTCAACTTGCAGTGATAATGTTGAAATGTTCTAAGCTGTTCATAATCATCCTAGCTGAGTACTGATGAGAAATACCGTAAACAAAAGGGGAGGTAATCTTGGTTCGTTTTTCCTCACTAGAGATGATATTTATTTAATTGCGTTTTGCATACGAATGTTTGTTGGTACCCCATGTACACGGTAATGCTGAATCCTGTGTTGTTAACATCTGCCTGTCTTTTTGCATGACAGTTACTTGAATAAATGAGATGATTTTCATGAATTTCACTCCTCATAGTGTTGTGTCCAATTTCATTGCTTATGAATCTGCTCATCCAGCATTTAAAACATCACTGTCAACGATGACTTTTATTTTTTAAGTTCTATAGTCCCCTCAAGCTTGAATTTTTCTCATAATCTTTTTGGGTACTCTTTCTTTCCACTTGTTATTTGACTTAGTATTGTGATTTTGATGAGCAGGCATGATGATATGACATTCTGTAAAAAGGAAATTGCTTTTTCAGCTGAAATTTTGACACTGAGTTTCGTCAGCAACTGTTGCCAGAGATATATCTTATTTAGTGGTGGGTGTTTTTAGCCCAGGGTATGAATGTCCAAAGCCAGTCGTTCTCCGTCAACCGAAAAACCTAGATCAGAGAACAACTCAGTCTGAGCATACATTATATGTACATACTGATGGGAAATAAGGTTGTGTTAAAATCCAAACTAACAGCTTTAGGCCTTTGGACTCTTAAAAATCACTGTTTCGTTAGGTCTAGCTGCCTCATCTATGGTCTGTTGTAACCTTTTGAAGTAACCAACTTATATGAATTAATCTCATCTCCAATGATCATTCATTTCAGTATAACTACTACGTATGACAGTTTCATTCAGTTCACTTCGATGTGTATTGTGTTGGAATCGAGTATTGAAGATCATCACAACAAGCTCCACCCTACTCAGGTGTGTGGCTATTTTTATAACTATACTTTAGAACCTTTTAGAGATTGAGATCTCTTTCTACTAAATACTCTGATGTTTTTAGTGAACTGTGAATGAATACTACAGGATGTGCTAAATGCTGCACTGTATTCAAATACTCCAGTTCTCCCAACAATTTAAGGGATTTACCTTCCTTTCATCAGTTATGTACAAAGTATAAACTTCTTTCAACACTAGCACACAAGTTAATTTTTGTATCTTCCATGTTGAAATGCGTCAGCGATAAAAAGTGGAGTTGATGTCTGGTTAACAGCTGTGTTGCGCAACTCACCTGGTACAGCTTCAGGTCAACAACCTACAGAATGCTCGTTTGAACACTGTCATGACCCAAGTCTTCATTTTGCTTCCAGTCATCACCGACGATCAATAAAATCAGTCTGCTAACGACAGTCATCTCATAAAGTTTCATCAATATGCAAACTTCTGCTGTTATTAGTCCTCATTTATATGATTATATGAGAACTATAAATTCAATCCTTTCTAAGTTTTATCTATTCACTTCTATATACTGCATAGGAAAACTAACGTTTAAAAATAATATCTTAATTTCTACTTCTTCATTTTTATTATCGAGATAAAAGAAGTTGTTTGAATACAATCATCAGGAACCCCTACACCGCGATTTTGTGCTTGTTAGCACTCCTCAGCCAAGTATATTTGCAACCTGAAGGGAACTGATGTGCTTTAAGTAACTCAAAAGTATATTACCCAGCACTACAGTCACAGACCTTACAACTGAGCTATTCGGACTGCGATCAACTTTGTAATGTTTATTCGCAAGATGGGGTTTTTCATTGACATTTATTTCATTAGAACATAGTAATTCTATTAGAAAATTTTTTCTTCCCGACAAATCATCTTTAATAGCTGAACGTTATAATTTGTACTTACAAGAGACAGATGGGTTTATTATTGTGTAATAGGCCAACATTAGGTCATCAAAACCGAATGTTCTGGAAAGAAATGTCAAACCGTCTCTAGAATTGGAAAATGATTACGTCACCATAGATTATATAGAAGAATGTCCTCAGTCAGTCGTAATGATGTCTTTGAAGTTCAAAAAATCATATATATGAGTAAAATATTACGGATTTTTAATGGGAATTTGAAACCAACCAATCTGGACGTGAGGAATCAAAGCATGAAGTAAAAACTCAGGATGACTGGTCAATACAGGTAAAATGAATACAAAAGAAATGAAGACAGTTAGTGAAAGAACATGATCACGTTAAACAAAATACCTGAAAAACACCGTATACTATCGTCATAATGTGAACAGAAACCACTAGTGTTGAGGAATGTGCAAGTGTCACGATTTTTCACGCCAGTAATACTAGCGAAACATGGTTTAAATACAACGGAGTTAGGGAAAAAAATGCTACCCTTTCCCTACTAGGAATTTAAAAGGTTAATAAGTTGATAACTGAACCAAGCTTCGTTTGCTGAGACAGTTTACGAATTTTACACATACCCAACCATCACTTATCATAATATTTCGGCTGTAATAGAAAATACTTCAAGGCGATCAGATCAAAATATTTCAGCAGGTAGTAGAGTTCCTCCTAATTTTCCTAAGGTTAACGACAGCAGTAACACATTGCTGAAAACTTTTAATAGTATGACTGAAAATTTTTTATGATGATGAATTTTATCTACATTTTGATATTATTATCTATCTATGCTGTCCGCTCGCTTCCTAAACCTGTTTTCTCTGCAAAATTCACTTTGTCACTACTCTTAATATCATGAATTACATCGTCTTTTCTGTTACTATGCTCCTGCTGACATGCATGACAATGCGAAGTGCTGGAAACTAGACTCATATGTAGATCCATATTAGATTTGTTTATTTGACATATAGCGCACAGTGATACAGTATTATCTACTTGATTACGTTTCGAGTATAAATTATTATTCATAATTATACCAATGAATTGGCTTCGTTGTGAACTGTACATTACACAACGAAGTTTTCTTTACCTATGACATACGCGTGTAGGTTGATTTCACATCTTGACTTTATCAGCAAACTCCTTCAGATTTTTCATATATCCTTGTTAAATACTGGTCTTAATGGTTAGTTAGTTGAAAGAAGTCGACAGGAAGCTCTACACCAAGATTTTGTGCTTGTTGGCACCTGTCAGCAAGGTGTGTCTTTAGCTTCAAGAGTGTAGGTGTATTTTTTGAGCTTCAAAACCGGGTTACCTAAGATTGCAGTCGGGGACCCTTTTACTGAGCTGTTCGTGTCGTGACTGACCTCCTGTGAAACTGAATGACCTGCATTCACTGGCCACAGGAGAACAACCAGCTTCTTGTTGTTTATTCCTATTTACTGACCGAATTCTATCAATCATTTTGTAATGTTTTAGTTTTCTATTTATTTTGATAAGGCGTAAATCCAGACTATGCCTATAGTATGCGAATGATAAAACAGCCCTAAGTTCATTTCTTTGATTTATGAAACACCATTTAGCGTAAAGCGCATAAAATTTTAGTATATTACTCATTTATTACAATACAAAGCTTCACGACAGGCACACAGACCTTAGCGAACCCAACTAATAGGTGTAACCTAGACACTGAGAACAGATCAAAGTAACATTCCTATATCCCAGAAATCAACTTTTTTATGTTGTTATGTGTGGCTTATATTTAATTAAAGGCGTACCATGGCATAAAGCAGATCTTGACAGACATTCACAGTTAAGAAACCGTATTACTGTAACATTCAGAATACTTCATACAGGTGGTTGGCTATTTATGAAGATAACCAGAAACATGGTGCAACCAACAGTCTAAAATAAGATGACGTTTGCCTCCACATTAAACTGCATAGATCAAGTTGTATGTGTTTGTGGAAGCATATGTACTGTCCCTGTGCAAACCTACTTTCTGGTTAATATTGTATCAAACTACCCAAATTGTTACCAAGCTGTCACGGTGAAATCCCTAGAAATTTGGTCACACACCACCCATTAGACTGTTATCATGATATGGATGTCTATAGCAGCATTAGAGTCAATAATAAGCAGACTGATAGAAGAATACTTGAATTTGCACAGTAAACTTTATTCACATAGTTTGTTGTATTCTGTTCGACCTCCATTTTAGTTTACAAAGAGACATCTTGATATGCTTTCAATGACACTGATATGATGATATACTGTTTCACCGCTCAAGTAAATTTCAGTTAGTTATAACTTATTCCTATTAGTCAAGGTGTTAAACTCCCATGAACCATCCTATGATCAATTCTTGCACACAATCCATTAGTTAAATTGCATAGAATCTGAATGAGGTATTCGAAATAAAACCTATGAGTCAACTATCATTCAAAGTTTACAGGAAACATAATTTCCCGTGAACCGTAAATAATTACTAATGACATCTGATTCGAGCAACAATTTTTACCGATTGACTTCAAATACTTAATATCGCAGTTGGATAAAGTGAATAGTTGTCACTAATTTCATTTTTTCTTTTTTGAAAAGGCCTGTTAAAAGTAAATATATCACAATGATTCAGTTTTGGTTTACTGTCTTTCTTTTACTAGAAATGGAGCCCTAATAACTAATGAGAATTTATCGTCTACAGGGAACAAATACGCCAATCAAAATTATCGAAAATTAGCTGATTCAATCCATGGAATTAAAACCACGGTAATGACTGAGTTACATCATTTGATTTGATTTTCACACTCAAAATCTGTAGCATGTAGACTCATTTAAGTACACTATTCAGAAAATTTCCATTTTCACTGCTAGTAACATTTTTGTGATAAGCCTTTCTTACCATTTTTAAGGAAGCATCAGTTTCTATAATATTGTTTGTAAATCCCAGTCTAAATACAGCTGAATTTATGAAGTGGCACAGATACGCAAACAAATAGACGTAGAACGTGGCACAGAAGTGCATCGGTCCAAGCTGCCAGACTTCATAGCAACATGTAAGGAAGGAGTAGATAGACAAAGTGATATTACAGTAGAAAAATGTGTATGAGAGGAGACAGAATATATAGTTGAAATTCAACTAAATATTCAATTTCAGGAGAAGTCAGGAAGTGGATACAACTGAGCTATTGTGATAGATCTTTAGCCATTTCACTTAGAGTATTCAAACATTGATTTACATCATCCAGATGACCCCGATCAGTTAGTCTACGTCTTCCTAAACTGCTTAAACTATTTGTCACAGATGCTGTAGACCGTTGCTACGTCTTGATCTATTCAGACGGGTTTTATTTCAATGTTATCCTACTTCGACTAACACTTAACGTCGAGGTAGGTGGCAGCTCAGTCTCCGAAGGTCAATAACTTCATTGACTGGTCTGAGTTGACCTGGTAATGTAGCTGATAGGGTTATGATGAATGAACAGTTACGTATCATGCATTTGCACGATAACTGGGCACGTTTTTATGTATGTTTTCCACTTGTATGGCCGCATCTGGTTGATCACATCATCCATATCAAATTGATATCTGGACATTAAATATCTAGCACAAGTTTAACTGATAAACATTGTATTACTATGAACTGCATTCTTGGCTATGACCAAAAAAGCAATCCCTTGGGGCTTAGAAATACTTCGAAAAAGTTAATGGCCAAACAATGTGGTTAAAATTTACATACTAGTTGGATGTTAATTTTTGAAGGCTGTATCTATACACTGAACTGTTAAAATGACTGACATTCTAACACCAGGAGATTCATTTCATCTCCAATGAGGATTCTAATTGTAAGCTAGAGGAAAGGATAACGCTGATTAACCAGTTAGTCATTATCTACAAGGAACTTTCCATTTCCATGCCAAACATTAGCACCTCAAGACACAAGGCAACAAGATGAAAGATAAAGAAACAGAGTAAGCAGATTTAGTTGAAAGTCATAGAAGAAGAGAGTATAAAATCATCACGAAGCGAGATATGTAGATCACATTATGTGTAGATACATCTGAGTTACTGAGATTGATTCTGCTCCATATTGTCTAGATTCTCCAACCACTGATTTCAGTTGTAACATAGGCCTCAACCTGAAAGCTTGTGATGACTCGAAACCCGATTGACAGCTGCTATCTTGACGTGGTGGTCAGACTTGCATATCGCAATGACCCAAAGAGTTATGCAGGTGGAGACAAAAATTAGTCACCGTTAGTGCGAATTGCTATGCTATGATGGGCGTGCGAAGGTTAAGTCGTACTGCTGACTGGACGAGGTGTGATTGGAGTAAAGTGTTTCACTTGATTGACCAGCTGTACCATACTGATGCTGCCTCCCCTTTGGGAAGGAGAGGTTAGAAAATATCGACCGTAAAAATAGCACACTCCTCCCTGCCCATGGTCTTTCGGCACCTGTGGTATGGGTTTTCTGTATTCGGTGTTCGAAAAATCAAACCGTATACCAATGATTTCAAAAACGCTATATGACAGGCTTGAACCAGATGCTTCATGCGCTCTGTGGTCACGCAAATAGTTTTCTCATTCAGATGCCTCAAGTGGAAATAGCCTTCCACGGTGTGGGGAATCAGGGAGTGTCAACCGCCTGCATGCCTCCGGTAATATAAAAAAACTCAAATAAACATAACCCGCCTTCCTTAGCTCTGTCTCCTCCTTCACATTTACTGCGTGATGCAAATATTGAACCTCTTATACTTCCTTAGCCTCTTACTATGCAACTACTGCCAATAATCTAAGCCATCGGGACCCCTTCCATAATCTCCTAAAACGCCGCAATCGATTCCAAATTGGAGAATTCAACTTCCGAAGCCTGTGCTAAATCGGACATGAAGCATCCCATGATAGATCTCTGAGGCTTCCAGCCTTTGATGTGTTCTGTGTTCCTGATACATGTATATAAGATCCGAGTGTGGTTATTCACTTGACGTGAAGTAATCATTGCAGTGAATCTTCAGAATTCACTTCATAAGCTCTTGTAGACTCGCTGGTGTAGGTAGACATAGCATTTAGTTGAAAACCAGAAAGTTCACTCCTCATTTGGACACAAGTCAACAGATGTCTGTTTGCTGCCTGACTAAATGGATCTGTAAGAACTAGGAGGGCTCGTGAGGCTAGCCGATGCTCATTCATAATCTCTGCTTGCGCACTCACTGACTACAGTCTGGATGATGCAGAAGATGGATTCTTTGAGAAGCTGTTAGTTTTACTGCAGAAAACCAAATGTTGAGATATGGTCACAGTAGCAGGCGACGTCAGCTGTCAAGTAGGAAAGCTGATCCAATGTAAAATGCGTCTTGCAGGTTTCTATGAATTTCCGCACCAAGGGACAGAGACAAGTGACCGTTTGTTACAATTTTGTTCTGACAATCACTTGTTTCCCAACGTCGTCCAAAATGATCAATGCAAGAAGACTAAGTCCAGCCGACGTTGACCAAAATGAAGTATGAAGATACATTAGGCGATATTTGATCAAAAGTCTTCGCTACGAATACAGATAGTGATGGGTTGCTAAAGTGAGAAAGGTAGAGAAGGCTTCAGAGTTGGATAATAACTGGCAATTACTTAGACTTATTAAAGGTACCGTCAAAAAGACGATCGTGAGTGAAAGCACCACCGAAAAGGATAGGACCCTGATAACCTTTTAAGATAGATAGCTAGAGCGTTTATCAGAACACTTTGGAGCCCATTCCAACTACTCCACTGCAGCGCTTCAATTGCCAGCATTCGGCCTAGATCTGAATGGGAGGTAGATGTTAGTTCTTCAACCCTCCGTGAGGCTCAGAAGGTTGTATCGAACCTGGAACGATGCAAAGCAGAAGAACCTGATATTCTACCACGCGAAGGTTTTGAGGGTGGAGGTTGAAAACTACTGTTTAGAGTATAAGAGGTGCTAGGTAGCGTATGCAAACCAAACCGGTCCACTTCACTGAGTATTCTAGTCTATAAGAATGGGGAGACGTCTTCTTTCATCACCATAAGGTAATCATTCTGACTAATATTGTTTCCGAGTTCTTTGGGTCTATAATTTCTCAACACAACTTGAAATCGAGAACAAAACGTTGGGAAATGCTGACAGGTTTTGGACCTGGTTAAGAATGCAGCGAACCGATTTTTCCGTTTAACATATTCTGGAACACAGGGATACTTGCTGACGGGCGAAACCTGAAATGTTTCTTAACCTGAAGGCACCGTCCGACTCTGTTGACCGTGAGGTGTCGTGGCAGTGTCTTACTGAACCGAGTACTAAGTAGTTAAGTAGCTCGATTCAAAACTCTCTTCTTTAACTCATACAGTGGTGTGAATTATCGTGTGAGTTGATGATAACTAGTGGTTGCGCCAGAAATATCTGCTGTCACTCATCATCATCATCATCATCATCAACATAGGACCAGGCATTACTGCGTAACGGTCCGAGTTGCCACACCTCATATCAGCACATCAAGTAAAAGGTAGTGAGGTGAAGGATGAAGATAAGTGAATGCAGTCAAAAGAAATATAAAGTACGAGAAGAAAGGAAAGAGGAGTGACAAAATAGTGAGATTCGGTATAGCGTTGTTAAGATGAGGATAATGTGTGTATACATCTGCGCCACTGACTTCGGTTCTGAGCCATATCACCTAGGGTCTCCAACCACTGGTTCCTCTTGTCCCGTGGACCCCAACCACCTAGTCTGCATCGTCCTACATGGCTTAAACCAACAGTCAGAGACTTCATACATTGGTGCCATGTTTTAGTCTGGCCACCTCGGGCCTTTTTCCAGCCTGAACCCACCTCAGCCAACATTGTGTGACGAGGCAATCGGTGACTAGGCATACGTAGTACGTGTCCCAACCATCTCAGTCGATGAAGGTTCACAACCTCGTCGACTGACTTACCTCTTCTCCCTAAAACTCTACACCTAACTTCTGCATTACTCACATGGTGACACCACGGAATACGTCCTATACTACGAAGGCAACGGTGGTCAAATACCTGTAACCTTCTCATGTCTTCCACTTTCAATGGCCATGTTTCACAGCCATACAGTAGAACAGAGCGGACTGCTGTGCAGTACACGCGACCCTTAATAGACAAACGAATATCACGGCGGCGCCATAGGTGGCGCAAATTGGCAAAAGCCAATCGAGCCTTTTGTATCCGTGCAGAAATCTCATCGGCAACTAACCCACCGGGTTGATCCTACTTCCCAGGTAAGTGAAGTGGTCAACACACTCAACCACTTCACTCTCTATTGTTAACCGCGGTACCGCTGAAGACCAGTCCTGGAGCAAAAATTTGCATTTGGGTGGTGAAAATCGCATCCCAAACATTCTCAAATTCCCACTCAAAGTGTTCAGAAGACTCTGCATCTTGTCAGCGTCTTCACCTAACAGGACTATGTCATCTGCATATTCTAGATCTAAGGAAAATTCACCTGTGATCCGGTCAACGTCTTTGTAATTAGGTGACGAGAGGGAAACCTCCATAAGAATATCTATGATAAAATTAAATAAGAATGGGGATAGTGGGCATCCTTGACGGACACCACTTGATGAGTATAGCTCCCTGGACAACTCACCATAGGCTCTAACATGCCCACAAGTGTTCGAGTAGAGAGCTTTCAATAAGGTGATGTACTTACTAGGCACGCCTTTCAGTGACAGACACTGCCATAAGACTTCTCGATCAACGGAGTCAAATGCCGCCTTCAGGTCGAGAAATACAGCTATTGTCGGGCGTCTGTAAGCATGCCTATGTTCCAGGACCTGGCGCAGTGTGAATATTTGGTCGATACATCCACGGCCAGGTCTAAAGCCTGCCTGGTTTTCTCGGGCTTGCTGTTCCCGAGCTCCACTCAGGCGTCGGAGAATTATAGAACTTAGGATCTTAGACACTATGTTTGTCAGGCTGATTCCTCTGTGGTTATCACAAGAGGACTTCTCGCCTTTCTTGAAGACTGGGATGATGAGTGACTTAGACCAGTCGGAGGGGATCGTATTTGATTCCCATATACTGGCTAACACTTCCGTTAGCCTGACTAAGAGAACTCTACCACCATTCTTGTATACCTCAGCAGGTAGTCCGTCTGGTCCTGCTGCCCTTCCCCGTTTCAGGCTACCTACCGCTTTCTCAACTTCTTCTAGTGTTGGGGGACCTGTCTCTATGTCCCATTCAGGGTCCGACTGGATAGCGGGCAGCGCAATGGTGGCTGGAGGCCAGTTAAACTGTTCCTCAAAGTGTTCTGCCCATCGTCCCAGTCGCCTTCCCTGCGAGTGAATCGCCGATCCGTCCTTCTCCGCTATAACCTCACTAACTGTTGTTGACCATTTCCCCCCAGTCTCCTTAATAAGTCTAAATAACTGTCTACTGTTACCGATCGCCGCTGCCTTTTCCATCTCTTTAGCCTTTGCTGCCCACCACTGTTCACGATCGTTGCGCAGACTTTTCGTCAGTTTATTTTTAAGTTGCGCTCGCTCTTCATTGTACTCAGAGCCTGCAGGGATGCATTCACGTGCATCCATTAGTTTGGAAGAAGCTGCTGATATCCACTGGCTCTTTTTAGCCATTATCTTGGAGTCGGCTACAGTCTCCAGTGCTGCTTTTACAGTAGACTGAAGATGGCACCAAGCTTCTTCTGGATGAGTGACAGTCTTTTGTTCCGATAACTGCCTAGCCAACTTCTCACTGAACACGGCTTTGGTGTTTTCGTTGTCCAGCAGAACTCGTAGTGGTTTTGTTGCCAAATTTTTTCTACGTCCATTGAGACGCAGGCATATACGTGCTCGGACCAACGCATGATCGCTGTCCAAACACGTACTCCAGAAGGAGCGGCAGTCTTCCACCGATCCTCTCCAGCGATGACTAATAGCAATGTGGTCTATCTGTGTCCATCGCTGAGTCGAGCTCGGTGGACGCCAGGTCAGACAGTGCCTTTCTTTATGTCTGAAATTTGTGCTGGCTAAAAATAGGCGGTTATCTGAGCATAGTTGTAATAGGCGATCACCGTTATCTGTACGTTCAGCTGGGATTCCGAAAGTGCCACCTAAGTGCCTTTCTGCCTCACTCAGTCTACCCACCTGTGCGTTGAGGTCACCTGCAACAACCACTACGTCCGAACGTTTGGCTTTCGAGAGGAGGTTAGACAGTTTATGGTAGAACTCGTCCTTCACTTCATCCGAACTACAGTCAGTGGGTGCGTAAGCAGAGATTACAAAGAGACAACGGCGAGTCTCACTATTCCTTTTAGTTCTCACTGTGCCGTTCAGCCTCATAGCGCAGAGGCGACTATCAACTGGGATCCAGTCTAGTAGTGAGTTTTCTGCCCTGGTGCTTAATGCTATACCTACACCTGCAAGACCACGAGAGCTAGCTATCGAATCTCCAGAAACTCGAAGGGTGAATTTTGCAGATTCACCAGATTGGTCAGGAGAGGTCAGGTGAATAACCACACTTGGGTCCTGTATGCGTGTCTCACAAACACAGCACACATCCATGCCTCGAGTTGCTAGAGTCTTTGCCAACGAAGCCTGTTGGCCAATTTGACGGAGGGTGCGGACATTGAAGGCTCCAATATGTAATTTGGAGCGTGGTTTAAGGAGACCAGGGACGCTGTTCTGTGGACTCAGATCGTTGTCGAAGGCTGCAGAGGTAGGAGAAATTGAAGATGATGCAGCATCATTAATTAAGAGACGTGAAGGAAGATTAGAAGGTAATGATGGAGGAGGAGGATAGCAGTCAGAAGAAACTTGGGTGCTGACAGAGTTGTGAGGGCGGTTGACACTTCCCGGCTGCCCACACCGTGGAAGGCTATTTCTTCTTAAGGTACCTGAAAGAGATTTGTGTGACCGCAGAGCCCATCGGACATCTGCTTGAGGCCTGTCACACCCAGCCTTTTGAGTATGATTATTTTGAATTTTTGTATTTTTGGGGCCGGATGGTCGAAAGGAAACGACAAGTGAACCAACACCGCCGGCCCGGCAGACCGTGGGGCGTGGTGGAGTGTGTTATTTTTGGGGCCGACCTTTTCTAACCCCCCCTTCCACTGAGAAGGCAGCATCAGCATGGCACTGCTGGTCATCCAAGGGAAACACCTTACTGCTGTCACACCCCATCCAGCTAGCAGCAGTACGACTTCGCCCTCAGACCCCCATCATAGTGTAGCAATTTACACTATAACGGTAACTGCTTTTCGTCTAACCACTACCCAACAGACCTTTCTGGTATGGTAGGACCTCGAGGGAACAAGCGTTCCACCAGCATAGCTCGTTGGGTCATTGTGATATGCAAGCCCGACCACCACGTCAAGGTAGCAGCTATCGGTCGTGGCTGTCACTCTCTCTGTTCAGTTTCGTCATAGATGAACTGGTAGACAAACTCTTAGGTATCTCTGATTTCGCAGGGATTGATCCACTCCATGGAAGGCATCCGACTGAATTTGAATACGTAGACGATATTGTCTTTTGGTGAAGATGCTGACAAAATATAGTATCTTCAGAACACCCTGGGAAGAAATCTTAGTATGTCTGTCATGCGTTTCGCACTTCGGCAACGTAAGATGATGTCAAAGGACTGCTCTGCAGCTACTCCTACTTTAAGTGAAGTGGTGGCATGCGTTGACCACTTTACTTACTTGGGGAGTTTCATTAGCTAGAATGGGTTAATAACTGACGAAATTTCAGCTTGGATACACAAGACTCGTTCAGCATTTGCCAACCTATACCATCCCTGGCGCCGTCTGGCGAGATATCTAACTATCTATTAGAGGTCGAGTATAATGTACTGCAGTCCACCCTGTCTTGTTAAACTACCGTGAGATATGGTCGTTTTAATTAGAGGATATGAAACGGAAAAAGGTTTTTAACCGAAGGTGTCTTCATATCATTGCCCAAATATGGTGAAATCACCACGTTAGCAATACTTAGGTCTAGCGAAGGGTACTAGGCAAGTCATGCAGTGCAGTCGATAGAGTTGTGAACCTGCAGCGACTGAAGTGGCTCGGACACCTGTTGCGTATACCGAGCTACTGCCTACCTTTATGTGCAATACTAAGATAAAATGGATTAGGTTGTAAGGGGGTTCAAGATGGCCCCACTAAGACGTGTCACCAGCATATGATGCCTCTGATTGTTGGTCTAAGTCGTGTAGGGAGGTACAAACTGCGTGGCTGGTGTCTGCGAGATGTCAGGAAACAGCGATTGAGAATTCTTTGTGACGACTAAAAACTGGTCACAATGGCACAGATTTGTTCACTGTTTGAAGTCTTTTAAAGTTTGGGTGTCTGTACTAACCTTCACATTTAAAGCCTTTCTTATCCCATACACTTTTGTCTACTTTGATATCAGTCTTTTTCTGTTCACTTGTTCGTTGTATGCTACTGTGAAGTAAGGGAATGTGAACCGATAAACTTCGGTGGGAGGTCTTTTGTTGGCTTTGTCTCTGTCTGTCTAGTAAGATTAAAACCAATTGTCATATTTGTAACATATCCACCTAATACAAAATTATCAAACTCTTTGCAGCAATAAGAGGTGTTAAAGTATTATCTAGAACATTACTATTCTGCACATGATTCTTCTGCCAATTATTGCATTCTCTTGCATTCATAACCGAATTCCAGTTGTCAGTTAACTTTTGGCAACTACATAATTGATGACCAATGAAAGTTAAGTGTAGAAGAGATGAAAGATCAAGAAACAAATATTTTTATGACTTTTGGCAAGAGATTAGATGAATACTCCAGAATTATATTTAAGCAGTAATCAATGACTAGGTTGTTCTTTATGTAGAAAATGAAATAGTACCTCACTGATCCATGTCATTTAGAATTTTTAAAAATGGTATGATTTTTGTCATGAAGTTACATTTATCACCAGCTGCTCAAGGGTTTCAAATTTGCTCCACTTAAAAAGGATTGGACAGCTAGATGGTATTAGGATCATCATACAATAAATGTGGCTTGTTGCCTATGTTATAAAACTGTATTTGTTTAGTAAGTTGAATTTGAGTTGAACAAAATATCCGTTCACCAACGTTTATCTCCTCAGAAACTGAATTGTAATCATTTACTAATAATCATACGAAGATTATAAACAGCGATTGATTGTTTCTTATGTAAATATCATACAAATCAGGACTAATCTTGCCTGGGTTGTGACTGAAGGCGCAATGAAACCATGGGTCACGATAGGATTCGAACCAGTGAATTAAGAATCTGGTCAGCATCTGGATGTCGTAGCTTAAGTGGTAAAGGACCGGGTCGGTAACCTAGAGGCCACTAGTTCGAATCCTATAGCAACCCAGATCTTCACTTATTCTTAAATTGTCTCCCATTATAATACAAGTCTAACAAATCACGGTTATCTCAAATAGTCAAACAAATATTATATGATCACTAGTATGATAAACTAGTTTAAATAAAATAACTAACTGGAAGCAAAATTATTCGATCGAATTATTCTTTCAGACGGATTCATACAACGGTTATGCAAAAAAGCCTACTTCAAATTTATCAAATAACTATCGTCCCGCTAATTCTCAAGCCAACTGGTTTAAAGCAGTTCGTATAATGGCGTCTAAAAGATTTGGTGAAAGTAATCGATCACATGCATCAATGAGAAGAAAAAACAGTGGAAAAGAGAAAATCTTTAATCCACTCCATTCTACTATTACGACTACTAATACTACAGAAAATAGTAGTATTGGTTTTCCACGATCAAAATCTCCTGGTGATATCATTCAGTCTAATCGATTTTCAAGATCATCTCCAACACCATTTGAAGGTCCGGCTAATAAACGTAATTCAAATGCACTACCTCATGATATGCGGTACTATGTCTATGACCATTCCGCGTGGACGATACAACTAAGGAAAGAGGTAAACTTTTGAGTGAATTTTTCATTGGAATATAACTGTGATAACACCTTCTGATGCTTATATTATATTTTTTTTCACATATGTTAAGACTGGTAAACTGTGTTTTGCAATTATAATTAAGTAATACAATCTTATGATATTTTTTTTGAAACTTTTTTCGGCGAACTATGACATACCTTCGCTTAGCTTTGTTCTATATATATATATATATATATATATATATATATATATATATATATATACATATATACATATATATATACATATATATATATATATATCATTGTGGAGAAGAATACTGTCTTAAAGTTTCAACATGACAAGGAGAATGTGTCATGTATTCTTATGAAATAACTGATGAAAACAAGTATTTGGCGATAATACAACCTCAGTTTATGCTGATACCTAAATTGGAAACTTTAGATAAGATTAGGCAGGCTATCCCCTAGTCTTAGATTGCATACTGGCTGACTACTGGAAGATATGCAAGGAAGATCTGTATAAAAATTTCTACTGACTGCTTTAGCTAGGCGTTGTTGTAGGATGTCAGTCACTTGGAGCTTCTCCATTGAATTGTATTCTCAGAAACAGAGGCTTCTTCTCCACTGTCATCAACTCTCGTTTGGGATGATTGTAAGTGGCACTTGCTTAGACATGTGACCACAAAGGCATGGTAGTTATTTCTCTACACACTCCTTGGAATAAACCGATCTTACTCTAAATGCTAGACACTTGATTTCATCACCTTTGTACTTCATCGACATGAAGCTGAGAAACTCTTTATATTTCGGCGGTAAATGTGCTTTTTTTAAAGTTATGTAACTGATATTGTCAAAAACCTAGGATACCAATGCTCGCAATACAGGCAACATAAAGTGATATCTTTCTAAGATCCTCGATAAACTTAAATAAAACTGAAAGATAAACGTGTCCTTAAGATTCCTATTTATCATTTTGAGGTTATGCAGTAACCACCAAGAAGTCAGAATATAGAACCTGTACATTCTTCACACTGTTTGCATCATTATACACTGCTTTGAATATAATTTTCCAAAAGGTATATAATGTTGAATGCTTTCAAAGGTATGTGTACTTCAGAATGTGTTTATACAGTACAGTGACATATCGTTATATCTGAAGTTCCATATACTTCACAGTATTTCATTAATTCTAAAATTAAGTGAATAGAACCTAGTCTCAATTCAGATAAACTGATGTCTACATAGGTTTTTAGTTATTTTTTTAATATTACCACCGTTTTATTGTTGTACACTTCTACTAATATAGTTTATTACACCAAGTGAACGAATAAAGACAAGTCTTATTCTAAATTTGGTCTTTCATCAAATTGTCGCTGATATCAAAGATGAAACAAATCTACGCCTAAACAGAAATGATCGTACACAATTATTATCTGTAATTGGTGAGTAATTTGTAGAGATATAGTATTTTTAGGGTGTGACAGTTTTGTCATTCATTTTACTGAGCAGATGTGGTCAACCTGAATGTTATTCATCTATTAATGACTACCAGCGGATTTTAAGATAAACTTCTCATCCTATTGAGGATATATTAATTAAATGAACACTCATATCACTGTTGCGTTACAGTTTCAAATTTTCTCATAGGGTTTTAATTCTTTGTAACTGGTAGTTGGCTTATTATTGACCAACTCTTCAGTTGTGTTTTTAAAGTCTTTAGCATATCTTTCTCATCCAAATCCTGCTCATCGAGGAATGCGGACAAAGCTGTTGGTACTGGCTTTTCAGATAACTGGTTTACTTACACAGACAGCCAGTGGTATTGACTAGGGATTACCGATCTTGCTCTGTAATAGTAATTATAGTCTAAGTTAATTAATACTACCACACCATGTTTTTTTATTAGTTTTTCCCAATAGTTTGAAGTCAAATAACGTTTTGAGGTATTATGTCACCTAACTAAGAGACTTTAACCACAATATACTCTTGAATAATATGCGTACGTGTTTGTCGATCATGATGATGCACACCTCTCGATATTTACTTTGAAGTTGGTTTAAACCCTTGAACGCTCTTAGTTCTCACTTGAAGATCAGTTCATGAGTAATGTGCACACTGAAAAATTCTCTTCAGGCATTTAATTCGACTTCAACCAGGCAGTGATAGATGTGCAGATAAGAATAACTGTCTACTTGGTTTGAATCCAGTGGGCAGCTAGCTTGAACAGCAATGTGAGTATTATTTTGATTTTTTCAAATAGTATGTTACTCATGCTTATTTTATCTATATACTTTCATTTCAGGTCCTTATTATAATATTGATTCCCTTGATTCTATTCATAATATTCCAATGGATGTAAAAAAGAAGACTCTATTTTGCTCGCTGAATTTACCGATTTACTTTGGTCGATTTTATCCTGTTCAGGTGAAGAATGCTTTTATTCGTCAACTATTAATTCACTTCATCATATGTCATTTTGTGTTTCATCTGTCGGAGAGTTACTATACGCAGTCTAACACCAACCTTTCATATGTATCCTTCTTCACAAAGTATTGACTTTGCGTCTTAAAACTATGCTTTCTGCGAACAGATATGTAAATAAGTGTTTGAATAGAATTTCACCTATTGCCAGAAAGAATTCTGGTGAACAAACATTCGCTCTTATTTCATATTTCCAACACTACCTCAACAGTGTTGCCACTGAATAGGCGAAGGGAGATAGAACCATCTATCAGTGAAACGGAAAATGCTGTCTAAACTGACTGAAAATAATGTCTAAATAAATCAGGCTTCCTAAGTATCGTTTTCTCGAAAGTTTCTGTTTTTATACCATTGGTACTGTAATGCTGTATATAATCTTCAAATTTAAAAATACTGACAATCAGACAGTTGAACTCGCTAATATCAGCATGAGATCTCGCAGTGCTTTATAACAATACGAGTTATCATGCCTTACGTTAGCGCATCAAGACATAAAGAAATAACTTAAAAGATAAGGAAATAAATTGCCGTCAATAGTTTCAGAAAGTCTTGGAAGGAGAGAAAGAGACATTCGAATAGTGGCGAGATGAGATATAATGATTAAGATTCATTCATCTACGCCACTCAAATCGATTTTGAGATATATCGCCTAGTCTTCAGTCACTGGTTTCGGTGGCTTCATGTACTCTAAACACAAAGTCTACATTTTCGTTCACAGCTCA